ACGGAGAAGTTATCAAAGCCTTCGAATTCGGGGGATTGCATGATGGCGTTGAGCATGGCTTGCATGATGAATACAGTGTCGTCCAGCAGATTGTTGTCCACGACGTCGAGACTAATGAAAGCCTGGAAGAAACCAATAATAACAACAAACAAGAGCATGAAGAATATGAGTGACTCGCGCATCATAACCTTGAGCACAACCAACATGGCGCCAAAGAAACGTAGCGAGTCGAGATAGAGCAAAAGACGAATCCAAAACATAGGCGCAGTAAAAGCCAAGAAGTCGTAGCTCATCTTGTTGAAGTAGTCGCGCCTGCCATCCTCATCGGTGCTCCTGGGGTGCCCAAATGCAACGATGCGCAGGACAAACGAGATTGTAAGCAGGGCGTACATTGTGCTGTTGAACATGTTCCAAAAGGAAATGTAGTACCGGCCGACCTTCCAGAACTTGTTTGCCTCATCGCATATGAAGCCGAGCGTGAAGAGATACAGCAAGCACTCGACGATATCAAAATCGCCCGAAGGATTGATAGTGTTAATGGCACCAGTGAAGAGGCCCAGGTAGATGAAGGACATGCCAATTTGGACCCAGTTCTGGTACTTGGGCACTCGCATGCGGTCCGGGTCCAGATGGGCCCAGTAGCTCGTGTTTGTCTTGTGGTCGTACGTAACAAAACGGCTTGGGTCCTCATCGTCCTGGACAATCCATCCGCGCCACAGATAGTTGATGCACTTTTGGTATCCCGACGATCCAATGACTGTCACAGCGTGCAAATCGACCGCCTTCTCTACAGCGTTGGCAGGCACAGAGGGCTCACCGTCGACCAGTGTCGAGTACCGCTTGAGCAGGACCTCTTCAAAGAGGTAGTTGATATCCTCTTCCTCCTCGATCAAGCGCTTTGCCATGACCTCGGCTGCCACAGCACGAACATGGTGCAGGTCGGCATCCCACAGCTCGGACTTTGCTTGTATGCTGAACCACTTCTTGACATGCAGCAAGCAGTATACGACACAGGCACTGTGCTCGGGAGCTCCCGCCTCGCGCGCCGTCTTCAGCACGGCGTCGGTTATGATCTGGCTATGGGCGCGCGTGACCTGGTCCTCTTCGAGCTCGCAGGGAATAACCTGCTCGATCTGATGTTTCAATCGCAGGGCCACTACCGTGACATCTTTGGGATCAATGGGCGGGGGCGGCATATGGCGTTCGCGGTGGGCGGTCGGCAGCACTGGCACATGTTAGCTGTGTATTCTCCGCCTAGGGCCGCAATCCAAAAGCTCTCGTACGCGCGCTCGTCTCATCATGCACCCTGTGTCTCCTATCGTGGCCCTCACTGGAGCTGAACAGCTCGCCCCACCTGACCATTATTGCGGCAGGTATTTAACTGGGATATCAGGCTTGTGATGCGTATCCTTGGCCCGAGGTGGAGAGTAAGCCCCGTCGAATTGCTCCAAGAAGTGCGGAACAAAAAAGAATAGGCGGTAACAAAGAGCGACAGCAAAGCAGCCGACAAGATAGCAGAAATGCTTGGTCCAACAAGGATTGCGCCGGCTAGCGTTTGGCTGCAAAGGCGCCAAAAAGCTGGATTGACAACGCTCGCAAACCCACATGTGCAGCGTCATGGCGCCCATCTCCCGCCCACTCCACGCGGCCCAAGCTCCTCTTCTGCTCTCTTCTCCGCCCCTCTCCGCCCTTCAACGCCGCGCCTTGTCATTCTTGGATCTTGGATTCGCTTTTGATTAGAGGCCTTTTTGAATTGATTTCTTTCGTTCTTCTTCTCATACACTCAAGCTCCTCATTTCCAAAGAAATAGCTGGAAAACAGGTGCCGGACAGGACGGATGCTATACATACATTGTGGATGCTCTCGCAAAACGCTGGAATCCCTTTGTATCATCGACGCCTCCAACGCCGGTAGTCACTTTTTGACCCTTGCTTTCCCATCGTGATCATCATTGCTCGTACCAAATCATTCTCCTGCTCCCCAAGCCCGCTTAATCAGCCTCGGCAACACCACCCTCGTCGCTCGTGCTCTCATCCTCGTCTCCGCTAACCTCCTGGTTCTCACGCTCGCGCTTCTCCATGAGCGCTGCCAGCTCCGCGTCGTCGTTCTCCGTAACCGCCTTGGGTGCCATCTTGACCTGGCAGTCGCCGCCTGCTTTTGAAATGTTCTCCTTGATGTCCAGGATGGCTTGTTCGAGGCATGCGATACCTGCGTTCTTGTCCAGACATTGCGAGGTGAGAACTGCCGACATGTTAGTAACTGTTCTCTACATGCAGAAATATCTTCAAACATACCGTAGAGAGGTGGCGACACCAGCTTGACCTTGACCTGGTTCTCGGGTGTGTTCTTGGCCTCTGCACATCGCAGAGCCTCCTTGACAGCATCGATACCCTCGTATCCGAAGCACGTAACTGCAAAAAATCAGCAACACATCCATATCTCATAATCGCTATCCACATACCCTCGATATCCGAGCGGACCTTGGTGGGTTGTGGTGTCAACCTCTTGCCAATATAACTCTGCAGCTCCTCCTTGACAACCTCATTGGGGAACGTAACATCATTCCAGACCTCCGGGTTGGTAATGCTCAGTTTGAATGCATCAATCGAGTGTCCGTACTTCTTGTTCAGTGGCCATCCGATCGTCTGGTAAATCTCCTCAATCGGCGTCTGCGTCTTCTCCGCAACGTGGCGCATGATGCTGTGCACCATCTTGGACTTGTTGTATCGCTCCTCGCACTTGACAATGTCCTCGGGAGACACTCGGCGCTTTGACAAGTCAATGTAGCCCTTGTCCTTGTCAACACGTAGTACGACGACGACTTCGTTGCGGCCCACGCGAATCAGCTTTTGGATAGATCGGATACGTCGTCGCGACAGTTCAGAGAGAAGAATCATGCCGTCAATGTTGTCTACGTTTTGTTAGTTGGGGCTTCGTTCGCTTGCACTGTCTGTGATTCTTGAAAACCTACCATATTCCAGTAGCTTTACGTATGCACCCATCTCGGCGATTTGCTTGACATTAACCATGACGAAGCTCTCCACCTCAGGGTACTTCTCCTCGTAAAACCGGCAATTCGCGAACGACATGTTGGATATGTTTCTTTTGATCGTCTACTGATGTATGGATGGGGTGTGGAGGGTTTGGTGAGGGACCGTGGGTTGTTTCGCTCGATTACTCGCTTCGTGTGTGGTATCGATTTTTCCCTTTTAAGCCTAAGGTGGTAGGTGAGGTCCAGGAGTAGTTTTTACTTTCAACGGGAAAGCAAAAATGGTAAAGTCGTGTGCAGAGTGGACCGTCGTCGATGTTGGGCAAAGTGACTCAAAGATTTGCCCAACCCACTGTGTGAGACCTTCGCCCCGCCGCTCACGCGTGGGGCAAATCGCGCTAGGCTGGTTTGGGAAAGGCAGGTAGTCGACGTCGCTTGCCCATGTGAGGGACTTGAGCGAGTGCAACACCCAAAAAAGTGATGGATGCAATGGGAGGGGAAAAAGCAATCACTCGGAATCTGTTGTTTATTTCAACATCATTGTGGAATCACAACTTGTCATTCCTTTCTTTCCCTCTGCAAATATCTACTACAAGACCATATCACCCCCATATCCTCGATCTGTTCCCTATCGAACGAAGAAGACTCATCTAGCCATTACTACTACACTTCCATTACCCCCTTCCTTGCTATCAGTAAGACCGAAAATCGGCAGACAAGATCCCCAACATACCCTCCCATCTAAGCTCCCAAAAGCGCCAAGACGACACCTCCAACAAGCACAATACCAGCCACGTTCTTAGCATCCGTAGCAGCGTTGAACTCAGGCGAGGTGTAAGGAGATGAGTAAGAAGCACCAGGCGAAGCACCCGTTCCCGTCGGGAGAACAGCGCTGGAGTTAGCGTGATGCGAGTGCGAGAAGGTAAGCGTAGGCGTAGCCACAGGAACCGTCGAGTTGGCAGGGACGTTGTAAGGCGGCTTAGTCGTGGAGGTAGCGGTTTTGGTTTCGTGCAAGGTAGCAGTCGAAATCGTCTGTATTATTAGTAACCAGATCAATCAACAGTGAGACAGCGGGGTTTGTGTAAACAGAATGGGTGACATACAGTGGACTTAACTGGGACCAAGGAGACATGAACAGACTTGTCGAGGCCAGAAGTAACAGCAGAAGAGTGAGCAGCCGTGCTAGGGTTTGCAGTTACAGTCACCGTGGTGGGAGGCACAACCTGAGTCACTGTCGTCGTGTCGCACGTCTTGCTGTGAGCGTCCGGCAGGCTGGAGACGAAGGTGACGGAGGTGACGAGGTGGATCGACGTGACTGCCGAGGCGGCTCCAGAGGAGAACGCAGTGCTGGCAACAGCGACGTTGATGAGCGCCGTAGCGGCGAGGAGGAGTGCCTTGAGCATAGCCATTGCGGTTGGTAGGTAGTGGTTTTGAACGAGTGTGGTTGAAAACTGGAAGTAAACTTGTGATATTAACAAGAGTAGCTCTGGTTCAGGTAGAGAGGAGAAGAGGTTATGACCTACCGCTGCGGGGTATTTATCGTAGAGGGGGGCGTTTGCTGTGTGGGGTGGACCGTGCGGTAGTGTAGTGAGTGAAAGCAAAGACCGCTAAAACCTGTTGCGCAATAAGCTCGGAAATTAGAAGTGCGATAAAGAACCTCCCAGTCCGTTGAGGCGTTGCATAGTGAGGGCGGTGGGCTGAACATGCAATGGTCGTTCACTTAAACTAAGTACCAAGGTAGCCAGCAGTATAGCATATCAGGGGTGCTCACACTTCTCGAGCGCAACAAGTTGAGGTTGAAGTAACAAATGTGGTATTACTGGCTATTAAACAATGTTAATAAACGCTAAATATGCTCAATATGAATGCTAGCCATCATCAAAACGCCAATGCCCTCCACCATACAACAACATTCCAGTGTACATATGATACAAGCATCCTGCATTACCTCAGAACCCACCTCGGTCCTCTGCGCCGTAACATACCAATTCATATCCTAACCCCATATCGCTCACTGAATACTCTCTTCTAGTCTAAAGTCTGCGGCACTCCCCTGCACTCTCTCAATCTCATTCTGAATTGCCAGCACCCAATGGTCGCGCTCTGCACGTGACCGAGCCCTAAAAACCACGCTACGACCTTTGCTCCCCAGCTTGGCCACTCTCTTCAACTTGGTCCTCTTTCCTTCTTTTCGATTCTGTTCACCGCCCCCGGCGCCCTCTTCAGCGCGGAACCAACTCTTGGCCTTTCCATGCCAGATGACAAACGTTGTCATAACGTCTTCGTCAGTTGATGTCCATCCGTCTTCGAGGTATATCCGCGGAAGTGCGTGGTGCCCTGGCTTATTCGCATCAAAAGTTTGATTTTGATATAGCAAATCGTTCTCGGTGAGAAGACCAGAGTAGATGTAGCAGTCTTTGAGGTCCAGATTGGCCATTCGCTCATGGTGTATATGCGCGAGTTGTTTTCCACTTCTGCTTCGCAGTACATCGCGAAAGATAAGAAGTGTGCCAGCGGTGAGCAGGACGCTGCACCGCGTAAAGGGAGCATGTATACGAGGCTTACGGTAAAGCATTCCGCTCATGTGAATAGGTCGGCAGCAAGCGATGCCACACATGTTGTAAAGCTCAGGCGAAGCAAAGGACTGCGTTACCTCCCACTTGCGAGCAAATTGACCAACATGCGCTTCAGTCTCTTCGTCAATCTTAAGGGCGCTAAGGTTACGACTGCGTGTGGATTTGTAGAGAGCAATATCAGACGCAGTGCGATGCTTCCAGTACTTGACAAGGGCACGGAGATGCTGTATCCATTCTTTTCGACGGGCTTTGTTCGCAGCCTAATGATCACGTTAGCGCGGCACATGAATAAACACTGTACAGACACATACCTGTAGACGAATGATGAGGCCGTTCTTCATGACTAGCTCAAGGGTACGATCAAGATCCAGGTCATTAGTCACTCCGTCGTTGTTCATAGAGTCATCAATGTCTTCGTCAAAGTCCACATCCGAGCCTTCCTCAAGGTCCTCGTCAGCAGCACTAGCACCCAATCGGGCTTTGCGGACTTTGACAACATCAGTCAGGTTGATGTAACCGTCGCAATTGAGGAGATTTTGTTCTTTGCGCTCGGCCTCATCTGCTGCATCCTCATCGCGCAGCCGCCTGGCCTCGGTCGTGCCAGAGTGACCCTCCATGAGCCATTCAATTTGACCATGCTGCAGACTGTATGGGTTTACTGCCCAGCTGTCTGGTACCGCGTCTCTAACTGCATCTGGTGTTGGCACGGCCGCATTCTCTGAAGCAGGTAGCTTTGGAGGCGGTGGTGGAGTCGCTTTGGTCGGGCGAGAAAAGACCAAGTACTGGTCATGACTAGCAAAGTACAGTTGCTTGTGGTACATGAGTCCTAGGCGCTTAGACCGACCCCGTTGTCCAGTAAGCCGAATGAGGAAGCCTTCAACTGGAACTGGCTCGGTAAGCGTCTTGTGCTTCTTTCGCGTAATGGCAGTCGTGGGGTAATGCGTCTTGGGTCGCAGCTCCAGCTCATGTGATTTGAGCATAGCAATAGTGCCATACATCTTGCGTTCGTTGGCTCCGTGTATCCATTCAAGCCGGTCGTAGCGCTTCCAGGCAAGACCAATGCGTTGGTCTTTCATCCATGATGCCAGGACATCGGCCCATTGCGGTTCGTCTTCCAGTTGCTCCAGACAGCGTCGTATGAGATTCTCTGCAACAGCCTCCTCTTCTTGCATAGTTTTTAGGAGAGCCTCTTCAGTATCATCTGCGCAATGTACTTTGTTCTGAGAGGATTCTAGCTGCGCAAAAGGATTTACTATGCTCACACTTAGGCTCATGTCGGGTATATTGATTTGAAGTTCAGAAGCCCGTTGCCAACCAAGTATGTTCCTGATGAAGGTATACCATTCAGCAGCGCTCGAGGAAGTGCGAGCTTGCATAATGAAGATCAAGGTCTCAGGACGTCTTGGCGTTGAGACGACCACAGTCTTGTCGAGCGCAGAATACAGATTGGCCTTGCTGGTCTTGCGACTGAGTGGAATTTCATATGCCGCCTTCTTGCTCGCGCCCGCATTTTCGATTTCTGGAATGACTCGAGTCTGGTAGAATTGCAGCACGAAATCAGCACCATCAACGTGACTGTGGCGGCAGACAACCATGTATTCGCGCCACTTGTTCTTGACGCGAGACACGACTCTTTGGCTGACGTTCTCATCAAAATCTTCCGGAACCTCTGCTGCAGCATCAACACGAACGAGCATGCGCTCCATCTTGACAACGAGCCCCTCTTTGATATTCTTTCGTCGAACCCTGGTACCTGCTCGCTGGACCGTCATCTGCGCCTTCTTTGCTTTGAGGTGGATGGCTGCACGCCTCGAATTTTCCGGGACATCGAATTTGACCAGATTTCGCATAGTCGACTTCTTGCGCGTCAACTCTCCTGACGAGGCGTCTACATCCTGTGCTTGCCCAGAGGAAGAAGACATCATTTCAGACTTTCTCCTGACCTTGGCCAGTATACCTTTGGCGGGTGGGTTTGGATCGATGTCAGCGAGAGCGGGTGCCTTGTTGGTGTCAGCGTTGGGCAACAGAGACGACGTTGAATTAGCATCTACAGAAGCAGCTCCAGTGGTTGACGCAGGATGTCCATGGCTCTCTATGCTAAGTAGCGGGCGCTTGCCCAGCGACTTTGATCCTGGCTCGCTTCCATTCGAAGGGACTTGTAGGCCGTTTTGCTCTACCGGGTGTTGTTCCTCCTGCTGAGGGTCTTGGTCTTCTGTGATTTCGCTATTGTCTGGCTCTGTTATTGGTACAGAGGACGCAGTGACAAATGTCTTTTCGCTTGACCGTCGTGTTGTCAGAGGAGGGGCGGGGATGTCTTGGTTGTGGTCATGGTGGGTGTCGTCGTCATCGCTGTCCCCGTCCTCGTCCTCAGGCTCAGAAGGCGCGTCAACCCAGTGCTCTTCTTCCGCTTCCGTCACCACATCCTTTCTGTTGTCTGAACTGCGGGGTATTTGCAAGGCAGGTGGTGAGGCCGCAGTCGCGGCAGCTTTTCCATTTGCGCCGCTTGCCTCGGACGACTGCAAGTCTCCCTTCTGTCCTCCTTCTCGATCCCCCGTCTCTTCCTCCTCGGCGTCGAGTTCTTGGGGCTGGGGGAAGCTGTGCTGAAAGAGGGCGGAAGAACTGGGGCCTTCAAGACCACTCAGTCGTCGCTGGCGAGCGTCGTGGGGGTCCGAGGAAAAGGTTCCAGCGCGGGTCGAGTAGTTGATGCGCAGATGGTGCTTGTACCAGTCGCGTCGATGCTTGTTCAGCCATGCTGTCTAGACGGAGCGTTAGTCTCTGCAGGACTCCAACGGGGCAGGCTGCTGGGGAGAGGGCATACCGGGATAGGACCGATGAAGTAGCGCCTCGAGGTGAGGTGAAGGTGTTCAGGCGTGGCATGTTGCTAATTCTCGTACTCAGCCTATGGCCTGCATAAAATGGCAGGGATTGCATACCAATCTCTGCGCAGTATACGAGTCTGGCGGCAGGTTGGTCACCTCAGGCTTATGCCATGAGTGTCGCTCCTGGGTGGGCATTGGACGTTGTCTCCTATCTCGACTTGGCTGCTGGGGATGCGCTGGTGCAGAATCACGGTAGGCAACTGGGACGCGACATGGAGCTTCAAACAGAGCACATTTAGCGAAAAAAGGAAAAAAGGAAATGCAAGATACACCTGCTCTTCACGTCTGTAGCTTCACATGGGTAGGGAGAGGCAGCCACAAGGCCAGGCTAGCGGGTACGCGACTAGGGAACAAGCAGCAAGGCGGGTTTTGAGCCATCGTCATCGCCAGAACACCCCGGTGTCAATCATCATCTGTGCCTCTACTAGCCTGTTTGGCCTCGACCCCAACAACCACTCAACCACCATCAAAAATCAGCAGCACAAAAAGGACTATTCCTCGGTATCTTCTGCCCAAAGTCTAGCGCTGCGACAAATATGGAAGTGCGATTGAAATGCACTGGGCGGCATGGACCGTTCATTCACCCCGCCCTTGACCCCTACCCCACAGCATAATTTGGTTCCAATTCAGCCAAGCGAACCAACATGTGGCCAGCTCTAGCCAGATTCTATGTTAAACTTCGGAGAAGCATAGTATCGCTCACATGTACTCATGTGGGGGTTTGATACAGGAAAGTGCACGCTAGGCTAGGCCTCTACCCAACCCCTATCCTGTTTCCTTCCATTTGCCAAGTAAGATCTTGGTACTCTCACAGGTTTTTCCGTCCAGTTACACGCATCCTGGGTTGAGTTGTATCGATCAATCCGGTAACTCCAAACATTTCGCATTGAACGATTTTGATACTTCATCAGCACGATTTCCTCAGAAACTGGAATAGAGATCCGAATTTGAACAAATCAAGCAGTTCTGACAAATGCCACAACCAAGTTGTGTTCCATTCGTGTTACGATCAGGTCTGGTCTTATATTTTCTCATACTATTCCCAACGAGAGACAGCCCCTTTCTTTGCTTTTTTTCTCCAAGACTTCGTACTCGCGCACGGCCCCACGAGTCCTTTTCGCTGGTCTCGACAAACTCAAAATCCGATACAACTCACATGCAACATCTAGCCGCAGCAATCTATTCCAGGGCGCTAACGACACTCAGCCCGGCAGTTTCACATCTCAACATACCTGTTACGGCAATTCTCCCAAAATCTGTTGATTCTCGTCTCGGATGATCTCCTTCGTGGCGCATGCTTGCGAGGGTCTTCCCAGTAACCACGTTGTCACCGCTGCCTTGTGCATCCGTGCTCTATAGCGAAGGAATCATGATCCTGCACTCCATCTGACTAATATTTCTGTTTCTTTGCTGATAAGGCATACGTTGTTGTCCACAGCTAGAACCTGCATGATGCAAGCCACAGCTTTCTATGTGGCGCTCAAGTCTCTCCTCTTGAATCTGCACACCACATCCGTCTGCACATTGAAGGAGCAGTTGTGAACCTTCCATGGCCGGTTGTGTGCCATTTCAAAAGTAAATCGGCGCAATGTCTCTGCAGTTACTTTGTAGATCTGTGTCAAGGCAAGCTATGCACTGTCAGCGCGGGCGTCTGATAGCCACGTCCATAGCCACTCACAGGTTTGCCAACACACGTCCGCGTACCAGCCCCCCATGCTAGGATTGCCCTGTCCATTGCCCGTGTGCGTTCTTCGCTCTCCAGCCATCGCTCGGGCTTAAACTCGAGTGCGTCCTCTCCAAAAATACCAGTGTCATGTTGGACAATTGCTGGATTCATACCCACAGTATAACCCCCCGGGATGTATTTGTCACAAAGTGTGAGACCCTGACTGGGCGCATACCGAGGCATCGACACTGAGAACGCGGGGAATAACCGCCCGGCTTCCTTCACTACTGCTGTCAAGTACGGGAGTGTGGATGCCTGACTATATTGCACGGGCGATGAAAGGCTGCCATCCTCAAAAGCTGCATCGACTTCTGCACGCGCTTTCTCGAGCTTCTCAGGATTCTTCATCAGGAAATAAATTACCGAGCGCATGTTTATCGATATGCTGTCCGCGCCGGCCATGCTACGCTTCGTCAGCACAATATGTCTTACTTCCATGCCAAGAACACGTACATCCCTACCCACATGTCCGACGTGATTTCCTTGTGGGAGTAGTTTACCTTACTACCCTTTTCTTGCAAAATTGACAAGAGCTGAGAGACTACATCAGGCCGCTTTCCCGTCACCTCGAGAGACCGCTCAGTCGCCATCTTGGTCTCTTTGATCGCCGTCTTCTTGATATCCTCCACCGCCAGTACAGCCCTGAGCAGTTTCGGGATGCAAACAGCAACAAGAAGTAGGAAAGGCCGTACATAATATGGCGTCACCGTCAAGAGGGTAAGAAAAGGCATTGCGAGATGTACGGCATGAATGTAGCCGTTGTAGTCAACGCTATCACGGACAAAACCAAACGCTTGGCCGAAGAATGCCACTCCAATGTTATCAAACGAGTACCTGTACATTCATACTAATTAGCAAGCACAGCATTTTGGGTTTCAGTAATGCAACTAAAACTCACATCTCCAGCCAAAGACCAAAATCAAACGCCTCTCCACTCTCCGCAAACCCTCCCAACCTCTGCATAAAAAGCTCCAGCATCTCATCTAACCCCGCTTCACTCTTCAACATACTAGAAAGCGAATAAATACCCCCTACGATCCGCCTATACGCTGCATGCGCCATCTCATCCGTCTGCGTAAACAAATCCGGCTGCGAGCCCAGTCCCTTTGGTCGCCACGGTATATACCAATCCGTTTTTTGCAAGGCTTTTTGAACAGGGTAGATGAGGGGCAGCGCGCTTGGATCCGCGACTGTGACTTCATCTGGTGCTATACGTACAATAGGGCCGTACCGCGCGTGCAGGGCCCGCGTTGCGATGTCTATGTCACCGGCGTAGTGGTGGTACATGAGCCATGTTCGCGATAAGCGGGGCCAGAGGGGACCGGGAATGCGAGATAATGGGTGAAGACTTAGGGTGTAGAGGGTCCAGAGGAAGATGTATGTTGTGAGGAGAAGGGGGATGTAGGTGAGAAAGAGGGAGGGTATATCAATGGGACTTGGAAACATCACTGATGGTATGGCCATGATGTGTTTTACGGTTTCTCATGTTTCTACAGGGAGAACAGAGAAAAGAAGACCGGCAGTGGGGGATTCAGATTTGCTTTTATTCGGCTAGGTGGATGGAGCGAAGGAATACATGCATGTTGGAGCTTCCATTCTCCATCCGCTAACGAGCGGCTCTTGCACTGATTCTGGAGACTTGGTCCGCGGTGCGTCAAGATCGCCAATCGTAGCTTGGGAACAAGCATTTTTGGATGATAATGCTTGTTGCTTCCGTACGTTAGAATGAACTACAAAGGAAGGAGAGATGCGAGTCGTGAGATTTGAGGCTGATGTCGCGAGGCGAGTCAGTCTTTGGGATGACGTAATGGCGCACCAAGCTATCTATGGTTCATAGATACGAATTTCTATATACTCTCTTCTGAACCGACATACATATCGTTTGGAATGAACAGGAAACGCATGTGCTCAACCCTCAAAAAATCTCGACAAAATAAAACAAAAGCCTCGCCTCTGGAGAAGTAAAGAAACCCTTTGTGATTTCACTCGTGTACAAGCTTTTAGGGTCCTCTTGATATCGCACATCAATGCTGACAGACAGTCCCGCTTCATCGGATGCTTCTTGAAAGAGCTGTCGCAGTGTCTCGGCTGAGTGAATGTAACGTTCCACATGTACGCCGGCAGGAACCAGTGGAGGTGGAACAGGAACTGAATGACCTTGCAGGCCACCAGTAAGTAAACCCGCTATCCAGCTGCCTTTCCCACGTGCTAATTGGAACATGAGATTTACGACTTGCTTCTGCTTCGCCCAGTCGAATGCATGCAGCAGCTGCGCGGAAGTCACGATATCCCAAGAGCCTCTGGTCGTGCGAAGGATACCGGCTTCCTCTTCGCCAAAGATATCTGCGGTTCTGAAGCATGATTTGGTGACTGTGTGGTCCTGAAATAGTTCGTGGCCTACAGTTAAGAATTGCGGGAACTTGTCCACGCCTAGAAGCTGATCAGGCGATGCCCCGTCGTATATCAGCTTGCGTATATCTTGACCAAGACAGGCCCCTAAATCGATCAAGGTCGGTTGGGGATTGTCATCACCAAGTGCCAGTCGCTTGACGATGCGATCGTACATGGGATGCTCAGCGAGTCCAAGGACAAGGAACCAGAATTCGCCAATTGTTCCGATCGGTAGGGCTTCAAATGCTGCGTCACGCTGAGTTACTTTCATTAGCATGCCTCGAGACACCAATTGCAAAACTTACGATCCGATGAATGTGTGCTTCTTGAAGGTATCGTGGAATACTCCCATACTCTTCCAACAACGTTTGCATCGATTCGTTGAGCTTGTTACCTATTTCCGGCGTATACCACGGCAACTTCTTCAGTTCACTGATATCGCGAGTGCCTTTAGAAGTGCGGTCAAGACTGTTCTTCGCATGATTCGATTCCATGTTTCGTTCGAGCGCCATCAGTTCCAATTTCCAGACAAAAGCACAGCTCAGAAGCCAAGCGATCGAAGCCAACGTCCAAGTAATCGGGTGTTCGTGCAGCGATCTTAAGAACTCTTTGTTTGTGCTATTCATGACAAAAAGGGGGTTAAAACACTTGGAAGGAGAAGTGGCGATAAAGGACAGTGCCGCTGGTGATCACCTCGAGTACGCAGTATATGCAGGCTTGATCATCACTGCACAAAACACAAGTCTGATTATTATTGTCTCATTTTCCATCACCTTACAGCTTCATGAGTTGGCCCCTTCAAGTAATAAGCGTTGGAGCCTGGCGTGGGGGCCAACACGAGATTCAGCCAGTTCACTGACAGAAAGTATTTTAGGACTGAACATGATTCAACTGCGATTCTGCCTTTGAAATCAGCCTTGTGTCTCCGCATACGGTCCCAGTGCTGTGGTATCACTTGCAGGTGGTGTTACGACCTACAGTATCCTCTGCAGCTGCCCAACGGACACAGGGATCTCGCGTATTCTGCCACAACGAGGACAAGTCCCGTTATGCAGGGTAAGGATTATACAGCGCTAGATAGACGTACGTGGCTGAGCGCACATAAGAACCAATACCGAAATGGAATCTGTCTGATTCTGTGCAGCCCTATCTCAGGCCTCGATAACACAGAATCGAATAAGATCAGGGTACTCGATTCTCATCCGCAGTATCATCCGACAGCTCACGGGCATAAAGAAGAAAATTGTAACCAAGTATAGACTACATGTCACAGCTACCATTTCATTCAACTTAGCTCGTTGTCCCTGTTTGTCGCCTTCGAATACGAAAAGGTGTTTTGGCTGCAGGCTTACTGACGCCTGTGCCAAAGTGACTCGACTTGACCGGTATCTCACACTGGAGGTCGCACAATTCAATGTCAAACAGGGATGTCAATACAGCCGTCACGATGAATGTCTCTGCTTTTGCCAGCTTGCGACCAGGACACATTTGCGCACCGCCACCAAACGGGACGTATATGCCGTCGAGCCCCTTTGCGGAAAACTGCAGTTGGGCGGATTCGCAGGACGTAGGGTAAGTGTCTGGTGGCTGTTTTCCTAGTGGATCGGCAGAGGGAGAGGCGTCTGCATTAAGCTTACATGTGCCCCGCTCCGGACCGTTATTGGAGATATCAATTGGCATTTTGAGAAAACGCTCCGGCACAAAGTCTGTCAGTGGGCGTGCCGATGCGGCATGGTTATTCGGTTTCCACAGCGCAGCGTCCATATGCGGTACAGATGAGCAGGTGAGTAAGACACTGCCGGCAGGGATCGACCACTCATTTATCTCCATGTCGCGAGTGTCGACAAATCTGGTAATAAAAATGTGGGTCCGCAAACGGAGCGTCTCTGCAAAACAGGCTTGGAGATATGGCTGAGTGAGTAGGGCCGATAAGTCGACATCAGGTAGTGGTGTGCCTTGAATTGCATGGCTGTCGTTGGTGTTGTGGCTGCTGGCGCTGCGTCCTGCATTCAAGCATTCAGCTCGGATACGCCTCAGCCGTTCCCGAGAGCGGAAGATCTCGACATTCAGCCAATAAATGGCGGAAATGGTGTTGGAATTCGACCTAGGAGGGTGGTCAGCAAAGGAGCAAAGGCAGCCAAAAAAGAAAGTGAGGTCTGCAATCGCCATCACACGGCGCTTACAAGCCAATTTTCCCTGGTCTTTGCAATCAGTAGACTGGAGAAACTTACGCCCATATCAAGCCTAGATCTGACGCCGCGATCGCTTGCACAGACCATCCATCGACATCGAGCAGACCCATCTTTGCCATCATCGATGGCGAGGCGTTATCCGCCTCGTCTCCATGACTCCCCTGCTGCTGCTGCTGCTGCTGCCGCCGTCGCTGCAACAACACCCTCCGCCACTCGACCAGACTCCCAAGCAACTTATCCCTAACCCTATACGCCCCTGGAAAAAGCCAAGCAGGCGCCCCCTTGGTGATCGCAGGCACCCACTCATCGAATGCCCAAAAGTCGCTCACAAACTCCCCGTCCACCTCTTCCACAAGTAACCTTCCACACAACGCCTCAATCGCAGCAGGCGTCACCTCCCTCGTTAGAAACGCCCACAAATCACTTTCTTCAACCCACTCTTCTCCTTCCTCCATGTTCTCCCATATCCGCACCATCCTCTTTTCAAACGCAACTTTGAATCTTTCAATTACACCTACGACCTCACTCCCTTGCAGCATGTCTAGCAGAATCTTCCTATCTCTATAACAAATCCGATTCTTGCCCTCTACGCGTGAGTTTGGTAAGGGAGTAGCAGCGTACCCGGAGTCATCCCGCTGAAATAGCTGTGCAGCGCGCTTGGGCATGCCGAAGAGTTGGCTTGCAATGAACGTCTGAGCGTGCGAAGGATTCGTGTGCGAGCTCGATTTTAGCAAGCGGCGGATGTTGGCAGTGCCTTGAATTAGAATCGGGTTTGTGCCCGGGAGGTGGAGGCGGACTGGGTGGCTGGTTGTGTTAGTTTTTTTTATGTCACTGCGACTTTATGTGAGAGCAGTGTATGGTGAGTGGAGTGCATACGTGATTCCCGCCACTAAAGCATAAGGATCTGTGAGAAAATACAGTGCATGTCCTATAAAGGGGATTCTGTACGAGAGCCACGGTGGTATCTTTTTCTGACTAGGTTTTTGGATGAGGATAGTGGAGGAGGAGAAGAAGAGGAAGAAGAAGTAGTGTGTAAGTAGTAGCACGAATGTAACGAAAAAGTATATCAAAAATGCCATTTTCTGCTTCTTCTCTTCTGTCTTCGTCGATTATTGATGGATTAAATAGAGCAGTACAGTGTACTCTATGCTAGAACTATCATTGCTTCGAGGTCAATCCCTCCTCTTATATCTGAGCACTGCCATGGGGGTGGCTGGCGGTATCTCAACGGGGGGGGGGGGTGTCTGACCGGGAACGGAAGGGGGGGATTGAAGGGTGTGATGCAGTGCCATGTTTACGTCAGAAATCTATCATTTTCTTTCCTTCTACAAGGCTATGAGACAGGGCTTTATTGGTTGATATTATAAGTAGGCATATAAGACAAAATGATGTTCGTATCAAAGGGGTGTGTGAGTGTGAGATGAAGTCATCATGTCTGCACACTGGACATGTATACGAGGGAGGCAGCAATGCAAGGAACTTGAATCTTGATTGGTATACATACGATTATCCTTTTTACAGTACAGTGTTATTTTTAGAAATTAGTGGGATGGAAGATGGGATACAGTGGTTTACTGCACACCGGAAAATGAACCGCTGTCACACGAACCGCAGCCTACGCAGTCTTACCCCCTTTCTCAGCTTTGATTTCCGGCACTGCCCATTCGATTGCCTTTTCCCAGCCCTGCCTGTTGTTGAATTTAGGCCTGTATCCAAGTCTCGTCTTGATCTTGTCGATGCACAGCGTTCGCTCCATGGTCAGGAGACGTATAACCCACGGCGTGAGCTTGGGCTGCTTGCGGCCGAGAGAGAAGATCCAGTAGAGCCAGGAGCCCAACAAGGCGAAAGTCTTCATGAACCAGATGGGAATGTTTCTGACTTGGTCGTCTGGGACGGGGGAGCCGAGAAGCTCGGAGACGAGGCGGGCGAGGTTCCAGAAAGGGATGTGCTCGTCGTTTGTAACGAAGAAGGCTTCGCCTTCGACTTTCTTGTCTTCAGGGAGTGGTGCGGATGTAGAAGCTTCAAGGAGTGCTTTTACGATGAGTGTCTGGGCGTAAGTGCAGTTCTCCACGTAACATGTATCGTAGAGGTACGATTTGTCGCCGAAGCGGATGTTGGCGCGGCCGGTGAGAGCTTGCTTGGTGACATTTATCGTCATTTGGCCATCACCTGGGCCGTACAGTGCGGCAGGCCGGACGACTGCCGTCAACATGTCATATTGGCGGTTTGAAGCGAGCACGAGCTTCTCGGCGAGTGCTTTGGTGTGCGAATAGTATTCTGGCTGGGCAGGCGACAAGAGTACAGGCAAGTCTTCGGTTGCTTCAATCATAGGCTGGCGCTGGTTGTGGACAACTGATGAGCTAGATGTATATAGGAACGCGCGGACAGTGCCGACGGCTTTGGCACATTGGATTATGTTGTCTGTTCCGATTACGTTCACCTGCTCCAGAATCGAGCGATTGACTTCGAATGGGTTGGGTGAAATTGTGTGAAGGACGACTTGAGGTTTGACTTGTTCGAAGATTTTGGCTATCTCGTCGCGCTGAAGGATGTTCGCAGTGAGATAGGTGGCGTCTGGATTGCGATTGCGCTCGGTGTTTACATCGACGACGAAGATCTTGGGGGTTGGCGTCGCGCGAGCAAATTCCCGAACAAGGTGGTGTCCAAGGAAGCCACAGCCTCCAAATATGAGGACTGGGCCTTCAATTGTGGTGTCGCTCATGATGGCAGTTCTTGATGGCCAATGCGATGAATTGAGTCTTATGGTGCAATTGTAGAATCAGTATCTTGAGTGATGGTGTGATGGTGAGAGTAGAGGATTGAAAAAAAAAAGCTTTTAGCAAAGAAACGGAAGCAACGCGGTCAAGACGTGACAAGGCAACAGCGACCCAGCAACTCCCAAACAAAGTGAAGGAGCAAACGCAGTGCATCTCCCCAATCATAGCCAATCATACGATGCTGTGCCGCAAAGCCCCCAGCCCCCCTTTCACTCGCAGAAACGTCGGACCAGAAACTAAGCGGAAACAAGTCTCTGGTACATCCTCCCTTCTAAATCCGCATTGAGGCCACGCAAGCCTGACAGGAATAGGTGCACGAGGGTATACCAGGGAAACTCTCTGATCAAAGAAAGACGGTGCAGCCCCAGGATCCACACACACACACTGAGCGGACCAACGGTCTTTGATGGGCTACTACTTAGGCGGGGGAACTCCCGTCCCGGAAACACCAAAAGAGCGGCCCCCCATTAACCACGGCGCAGCGGGATAACAGACGCAGGCTAAATTAGATGCATCAATAAACCCGAGATAAGCAGCAGGAGGCAAAAAGGTTTTCAACATCGAGCTTCATGCTGTGCCACATTGGATACCGACGCTCTGTTTCTCATAAGCACAAACCCTGTGGCGAGGGGGTGTGTCCAGCGCTAATACTCAAAGAGACATTGCTCATTACTGGAGGGCTGCTGGTTGGGGGCCGCCTCGCAGCATCGGACGCGGATGGGGTATCGCATGGCTATTGGATGGATGGTAGCGGGGTCCCGGAAGTTGTGATAGCATGGTGGTCGATTTAAACCTATTTGTGGATGAAGCTTGTACGCTGCGAGCAGGCTGTGGTTGCATTGCATTCGACCCACACGAACCGGTGAGTGTGCTACCTGCCGATGTTTTTTTTCTATTTTGACGAAAAATAGATGATTGTCTAGATGTGTCGTTCGAATGTTCTCTTGTGCAGCTTTGAAATGGCCGCTATCACTATCAAGAAGTACAAGTAGCTTAGTCGCAATAAACATGCTTTTGAATTGATTCAACGAGGGGTATTGTACCTATAAACAGTGCAAGAGTTTTAGACCCAATACACAGGTCCGGCTGCTGCGTGTATGTGGCCGATAAACAACTTTTGAGCCACGATCTCCAAATACCTCTTGGTTTCAAACTTGGGTATGCAAATTGGAGCCAGCCTCCTGGCAAATGTCATCGCAACAGATGTCTACCGGCCATGTGTAGCAGCGGGTTTTGCGGGCTCGATGTAGTCTTTAGGAGTTGTAACAAACTGTAGTGGTACAATCTGAGGCTTTGGGGCGTCGCTGTACGCTTTGTCGTGATATACATCCGAGAGCGAGTCTTTGGACGGTGTTCTTTGCCCGCTGCTAACCAGTCTTGTGCGAAGACTGGAAAGTCCGCTTCTGCTGCGCTTTACAAAAGCCGGAGAAAACACCAGACAAGGCGCAATAATGACTGTGTTCAGCTCTACGATCGTCATCTCCGAGGTGAGAACGGCTGCCCAGAAGTGATCAGACTCGTTGAGATTCCGAATTGACCATCCCATGCGAACCACACTGACGATACATGCCCTTTTCCACGATTAGTTTCGTCTCCTGAAATAATGCAATGAAAGGGGGATGTCCTACACAAGACCCACTCCAAAAACAGCACCAACTCCAAGCTTCCTTCGATAATCCATATTCAGCTTCCACACCTGCTGTAGCGGTATTACCAGAATGTAAAAGTCGATGAAGACATTGACAGCAGCTTGGATAGTCACGACCTTGTTGACTGCTTTACAGAACTGGTTCGTCACAGCCGACACACCCATGCACAGCACTGCCTGCGCAATCTCGTGGCCCATGAACGCCGCAGATGTAAACAGTGTCAGGAATATGCCAAAGTAGATGAGGTGGCGGGTGAACTCGACGACGTTGAAGAAGCGGAGGTAGAGTAGCAGGACGGATAGTTTGGCAAAGCAGATACCGACGATGTATAGTGTGGATAGTTGGTTGAGTTGCTGTAGCAAGTTAGATATCAATGACACTTTACGCATTAGAAGAGAATATACCAGTAGTCTCGAATGCGTCAAGGTGACGGCGCGAATATCCCAAAGATGCTTCCCATATCCAATATCGAGACCTGATCCTTTTCATCAGCACCATACCACAACACCACAACAGCATCACTCACCCGAAATCATAAGTCCACTATGCGCAGCCGAAGCCATCGTCGCAAGAACACACATGACTACGCCACATAAGTATCCAGACAAGACCAAACGAACTCTTTTCTTCTCTTTTCCAACTCACCTCCATCCCACCCAACAACATCCTTAGCCGTACGCCGCGCAACAAACCGCACCGCGACCGCCACCACCGTCGCACTCAAAAACACCGCATTCATAACAATCAACTCCATATCGCGAGACTCCGGGTTCACGAAATTCGACGCCTGCCCCTCGGGCGGCGGCATCGCAGGTAAGTTCCATATGTATCCCGGCATACCACCAGGTCCCGTCGGCAGCGCCGTAGCCGGCGTCGTCATCGCCATCGTGAACGTTTAGTCTTTCTCGCGTACTCGGTGTAAAAAATACTTATGGATGGAAGAGGAGGATGGAATGATAACAAAGAAAAAGATCTCTCGTCGTCTCCCACACCAACTCGTCACAACACCCAAAAACTAAGACGAAGAAGAAACAAAAAAAACTTGTCAATTACTTCCCTTTTCAAAAAGCTCTACTTTATCAGGGAACTAAGCAAGTCTTACAAAAAATCCTTCGCCACCAACCTCTCCGTTTTTATCTTTCAGGCCTGTACTACCTTGACCTCGTTTTCCGTCTTTTACCTAGGCGTCCAATCAACAACCCCCTGGTACATATATACCAATGAACGCTCCGCTTTGGCGCGCCCGGAGAACGCACGCATATCCTAGTCTATATACCCATGTATACCTTTGCATGTTTTGCTTACTTATATATTGACCGGGGGGGAGGGGGTATTAAGCTGATAAGGCGGGACGATGGGCGGATGGGGGGTTGCTTTGTACAGTCATCCGGCGCACAAGCTTGTATGCATGTCAGATGAGTGTGTGGCCTTGAGGTGCGCGCCTCCCGAAGATCAGAGTCTAGCCTACCCTGTAGATTGGTGCTGTTTTTGGGTACAGCACCGCGAGACTTCCTTGAATTGTTACATTCTTCTACTCTGGTGTCCTACGCTAGGTACGCTGCGGTGAGAAGTTTGTGGTCTTTGTGCGAGGGAGTGCAGGCGGTAGTATGTTATGTCCCCGCGCTGGTGTTACCCTTCCTAATAAAAAATCAAATCTGTTTTGACTGTTGCGGTAACAAATGTCTAGAACATCGATTCATATCGAAGGAAAGGGGAAATATACATAAGCACAGTTGATGAAAAACTCCTCCATGATTTTCTAGCGTGACGCTCGAAGCAGTGTAGGCATTACCAAGGCTAGCACATAGTCAAGCACGTGATGCGATGCCACGTATTAACCTCACGTAGTAAAAGGGGAAACTACAGGTTAGTGCACAAAATGGAGTCAAGCAACACTTCAAAGACGCATGAATATAAAGTGTTGGTATTCTAAACAAACTAAACACAAACGACAACTTGTATGTGCGGGTATCATTCAATAAAATCAAAACCGAAAGAGGGGAAAATCACTTTGCTGCGCTTGGGCTGTTCCGAGCTGGTGAAAGCATATTGGGAGCAAGGGTGACCTTAAATGTTCGTAAGTGGGGTGGGTCAGAAGCCTGAGTTGTCGAACTTGGCTTCTGTGATGCACCGTTTGACACGTGTTCAGCAACCTCGCTGTTCTCCCTGGCTACTGCATTCTTGGAGGGTGTGCCGTTGGCATCTACCGACATATCTCGTTGTCGCTGTGCTGGTGTCGGTGTTTCTGGTGTGAGAGGACTACTATGTTCGGATATAGGTTGTGGCATAACTTGCTTGCCATTTGTCCACTGCTCAGTGGGACGGTTGAGAGTGGCTGGGGTAGTGTTGGCCGACGATGCGGCCACGAGCTCGTCTGAAGATCGCTTTGTCTGCGAAAATGACGGTGATGGGTTGATGTGAGAATGAGAGAGTCCAAAGACTGTGACTTTGGAAGTTGCGACTTGCTCTTCTGAATACAGATCGTTCTTCTCGGAATCGGTAGTGGATGGCATACCGAAATCGTCTGGAGTTTCTGGTATAGGTCCAATGATGCTGCCTCTGCCAGCCCCTCCTTTGGCCCAGTCCCATATACCGCGGCGTAAGGGGGTTTGATATAGCGGCTGCACAGGTCCTCCTTGACCCTCACCATCGACTCCATCGATGACCTGGCTATCCTTCACTAGGCGATGTCTGTCTTCTAAGCTTTGGAGGCGCTCGTCGAGGGCTAGGTGTGTCTCGTATGTCCTCGTCCCGTTGACTTGGAACCGTTCCAGGCGTTTTCGATCCGGAGGCGTCACCTTGCGCAGCTTTTCCATGTCCTTCTCCCTGTCCCGAAAGGCGTCTGGATTGGGCGGCTGAGTAGCGACTGCCATTTCCTTCGATGTACCAACTGTCGAACTCGCCGGACTTGTCAGGCAGCGGCGAAGAGGATTTTTGCCGTGTGGGCGAGCTGGCGGGGGAGGAGGCGGTGGAGAATGAAGGAGCGGCTCTGTCTGGAGATGGGGGAGGTGAGGGCGGTTCGGCTGGACGGAGTTTATGTAGGGGACTGATTTGACGGATGACTGGGCGATCCTCTTCTTTGCTGGTTAATGGGAGTTACTATGGGGGTTGTACAATCAAAAAAAGGGGTAAGAGAGTGTGTGGTGAAGCTGGAAATGAACTGCAGACAAAGCAGAGCTACACACCTTGCTTCCCTCGAAGTTTCTCCTTGACGTAACAGTTGGGTGCGGCCTCATGATCGTGGTAGAGGCACTCATTTCCCTTGTCTGTTGGGTCGTCAAACAACATGCCTCCAGTGCCAGATCTGATGGCCTTGACCAGATCAATGGCAAAGTCAGGGTTGTTGGTAAAGCATTCGCGATACGTCTCAACGTCACGCTCATTCCCAGGGTCCATGATCTGGCGAGCGGCAATGCGCGTCATCAGGCGACGAAAGGGCGAGCCGGTCGGGCTCTTGCGGTAAATGGCGTCGATCTCGTCGGGGTCGGGGACCAACTCAGCCTCATGTAGACCTTTTCTATACTGATCCATGGCTACATTCTTCAACTGGGTCATGCTGAAGCGCTCACAAAGGAGGTAGAGCTTGTGGCAGCTCACAGCATAGTCGTACTTTTGGTTCTCGTCGGCCATGTCTGAGACGTCGTCCAGACTGCCTTGGTAGAGCCATTTGACCAGCAGCTCGAAGCCGGCCGGGTCATGGTCGGGCAAGTCAAGGCGGTCTTTCCTCGTATTGCCGTTGGCATCGCCCAGGAGCTCATTCTCGAGGGCTTCGGAGTGGTGGCACAGCAGGTTGCGGTGCAGCGCCCAGTGGCGCTTCGACTCGCCTACGTATATATCGATCATGGGTCCAGAAAGTAGTCTATCGCGTTGCAGCTTAGCTAATGCTCGTACGTGTAGATGATGAGAGAACAGGCGATGGGTCAGGGCAGGGCGCACTGCGATGCACTGCGCGGGTGTTTGCGACTGTTGCGCCGGTGAGCATTGCGACGCCCCCGGAGACGGCGCGCGATGGATCAAGCCGGCCATGTCTTGCTCTTGTGTCTGCGACGCATCCGCCTCATCGCGCCGATGGTCGAGGAAGGGATCGTCTACGTACTCAGCAAATGTCGGGGCGGGCACATGGCCAATGCTACCAGTAGCCATTCGCGATCGACGGGAACCTGGAATGGCGAAATCACGGTGGTAGACTCTTGGAACCTGCCCCATACGGCGCGATGGCGGCGCTCATAAAGGCAAGACAGTTGGCGCGTGTGACAGGGCGGTCAAGACGTAAGTGTGGATGCTGTGAGTTGTCGTGATGATGTTGTCGCCGTGCTGTTGACGTGCTGAGTGGAGATGGCTGGGGTGGCTCGCCCTCGTGTCGAAGCGTAGCGCGGCCAGGCACAAGGAGATGCCGTTGTCTTTACACTTGGTCCTTGTCGGCCCCACACTGCGAGCAACACTTGCAGACCGACTGGCCTAGACGATTACAGTCTCTAACACTAGTTTCTCCAGCCTTCTCTGCCCCTGAATGACTGTGCATGCTTTCTTTTGCTGGTTGCTTTTTGCGTTGGCGTTCAACGATTACCCCTCAGTCAGAATGCGACCAATCCGCTGGCCCACTGACCGTTTCTTGCAGATCGATCAGATGATGCCGGAGGAGATCATACCCATCGGTTTTGAACGAGTAGTTGAGAGCAAAAAGGATATGTTCAATATACCAGAGAGTGCACAGTGCTGGTAGTTTCCCAGCCACTTGAGGCGTGGCACCATCGCCTTAGCATTGCACGCGCCACACATGGGCCTGCGCCACACCAGCCCCGCCAAAAGCTACCCCACGCCGTCTCCAGCTACCCCACCAACAGCTTCCAATTGACACTGTCGCACGTGATGCTACCTCAATCTTCCTATTACACTTCCTAAGTCATGACGACTTTATGCGTTATCGTACCCTTTGCGAAATGCCATCCCGCTCGTTAACCGACATCGTCCTTCGCTCGGCTGGATTCCATTTTGGCTCGCTCTCGGTATATTCACCATGGATGTGCGTTTGCCCGTCCTCTTGCCGTTTGGTCTCAATGAAAAATATCAAACCTTGTTCGCAGAGAAATATGGTGTAAGAAAACAACATGAACCATTGCATTTCCATGTTCTGTCTTTACGCGAAATATCAGCCTTGCAACGTTTACGCGCCCGCAAGTTACATTTCAAAGCGCCATCTATCGCAGACTCTGCTCCGAACAAACATGATCGAATCCTGAAACCTAAGAAGATCAAAAGGGACCGAAAAAGCCGCGAAGAAAAGCGCAATCACTCAGTGACAATACCTAAACCACCTGTCTCTTTCTCGCTCGCTCCCAAGAATCCTCTGAGATCGATGCGTAACACGAACAGAAACCTGAAGACTGGCGCGGATCAACGCTTGGGAGCCTCTCGTGAAATACCAATTATACTTGACGGCGATTCAGCCAAGTCGGTGACACCAGGCAAATTGAACCCTAGGATACGTGACGCTAGTGTGTCTCCCGAACTCATCTTGCGCGACATGTCACCTACGCATGATCTTCACTCGCCAGTCCGGCCGACCAATATGCGCGACGCAAGAAAATCTGGGCTTTTCTTGCGCATCAAATTCAATACAGCTAGCCCCCAGCAGTACCACTTACTACAATCTCAGCAAGAACCCCAAACTTCACACCCAAAAACCCTGATGATGGCAGATATTCCGTTTATAGAATCGCCTGGTGATCGCTCCAGAGCCACGAATAGTGAGGAGAAAGACATAAAATTGGTAGACATAGAAGACTTCGAGATGAGAAAAAAGGTTACGCAGTTGATGGCCGTGGCGCCGGCACTACCCGTCCGAGATCTATATCACCTTATCATCGATAGTGAGGGCCGTCTTTCTAAAGCCAAGAAAAAGGCTATCCGGATGAGCGAAGCACCAGATACATTGTGCAGGCCCACACAACTCTCTTTACGACCACGAACACCTATTAATAACTTAGATACAGAAGGTGTCGTAGTCAATATCAACAACTCGAATACACAAACTATGGTCAAGATAGATCCGAGTGACCCCATCTTCAAGTGGGATGAGGATGAACCAGCACCAGAACCAGCACCGACGACAAAGCCTCGTCGGTCAAAGTCAATCGCTAAGAATAAACAAACACAAAGCGCACACTCACATCATTCCGCGAAAGAATCAAAACGCAAGATTCCAGCGGCACCGACACCGACACCGTCATATCAAAGTGAAAAGCGTACAAAAGTCTCGCATTCAAAACGAACAAGCCTACGAGAGACCAGCCGTGACCGCGAATTCATAGTTGCTGATGGCGTGATGCATTATGTTTCGGACTTTGACGACTCTGACGATTTTATTCTTTCGCGCAATGTTATTATACCCAGCAGGACTCGGAGACAGAGACGCAAGTTTAGTATGATTTGAGGAGGTCATGAAACTTCTTATCAGATTTTGGCTTGACAGCACGGACTAAAACTCGCTGGAAACGCGCCCGACAATTGGGAATACGGGTGGAAGAAGACGATATGTGTTCAACAAGGCATAGCGCCAAACCGCTTCCCGAGAAAACGGGACGAGCCGAACACGGCCGAATGACGGAATGCAGCAAGGCGGTTTACCGAGAAAAATAAAATAAAACTCAGGGCTTGGATGGAAATAGGTAGTGCGGAGTTTAAATATTCATGCGAAATCTATGGTTGCCCAAAACACGGTTCCCAACCATCCCCATGTCCTCTGCCTCCCAATTAAACACCCACCATTCAACAACAAAACTAAACCTCCCTCAAAGTCTCCCGTCCCCTCTGCTCCGGTGCCCTCAAGAATCCCCGAAGCTGCATTTCTACATCCCCGCCTTGTCGCTGCCGATCCATCTCCTGATCCACCTGCCTGCTCTTTTTGATGTAGAGATGGACCAGCGTCGCACAGAGCATTGGTCCGAAGATGCAGATGGGAATGAAGAGTGAAAGCGGCATGTTTCCAACCATTATATCTTTGGAATCGGGAGTCGCGGCGCTTGGAAGGAGCGGGACGGGTACGCTCATGGTTGTGTCGCTTGGAATGAGTGAAATGGGTACGTTCACAGTCGTAGTAGGAGGCGTGGTCCGAATTTTGGAGATATAAGCGTTGATGGCGGTTTTTTTTTAAAAGTAGTGGGCAACTTGGAGAATTTGAGATGTTTGTGGTTGGAATTGAAGATGGATTGTTGAACTTACGCTGCGTTTTAAGTGCGGTTATGCAGTTGGTGTTGGGGGAGAGATGAGACATCTTACAAGAATAACAAGAGTGACTCTAATGGTAAGCAAACATGTTCAGAACTCACACCACAAAGCGGAGTATCACGCGCCGTACATCTAGATATGGTCCTGAGACATGGCTCAACAGTACATCCCAGTTGAGGCGTAGGTTCTTCCGGTAGAACTGAGCACATTTCCGTTATCCTCTATGGCCCTCCCACTTTCCAAACTACCATTATGCGCGCTGTTAGAGAAATTCTGCACGCTGTCGGACTATGGTGTGATGACCAAAATGCGTTCTTGCGTGACTATCGCTCAATGGTGATCACGAGGTGGGATGGTGAATTTACGTAGAACGAGGCAATAGCTGCGCGTTTGAGATTAAGGAGCTTGCGGTTTCGGCATTGAGGACGGCGTGCGTGACTAGATCGGTGGGAACCGGGTGATATTGTTGGGCTGTAAATAGATGGGAGATGGCGAGTTTGATGCGTTTAGAGATATTGAGGTTAGAGTATTATCCGGGATGTTGACTTAATACTTGCTTCTCCTTTTGAGAGACAATAGGAAAGGCAGAAAAACTCACGACTGGGTTTGATTGACAGCTATAAATTTGGAGATTTTGGAGTGAGTTGGTGGCATTTACCTGTGTCTTATTGTCACAGGGAAACAAGGTGTGCTAAAAAGTTGGCTAAATTTTCTGTATCATTATCAAATTAAGAAAAGGTGTTGCATAGTTATCAGCGAGCTTTGCTTGGTTCGAATATATCGAATTAAGATTAGAAATCAGTTCATGCAAAGTGTTCCGCACAACGAGAATTCCCCCTGCAGTTAGAGGCACCCATGGATTTGTCTTGGTGCCATGACAGTCGGAGTAGATTCAATTAGAAACGATTAAGTAGTCATGTTGTTGGCTCGTTTGTCAAAGATAATTTGTGCCACTGTTCTATCGTATTCAAGGCATTACACAGTAGAAGCACTGAGTGCACCGAGGTAGGCTGAACTGTCGAGATAAGAGAATGAATATTGAAATAGAATTTTGAAAAGCATCACATGCACCTTGTATAGACCATTTTTATCCAGTTTTTCATTTGCTAGCGGCTGAAAGGAAATCCAAAGATCTTCCAGTAGAGAGTAGATTGGGGTAAAATCATGATTCAGTATCTTAACATCCACTTGCGAACAGAGATTCTATCGTGGCAATCTGTTCGGGGCCACTCTGGATCAGGTCTTCCGGTCAAGATCGCAATACTTGCTTGAAAACAACAACGCGAAGCCCTAGCTTGTTTGAGATCACTTCATATAAGACTACGAAGTCGATATCACAGCACATGTTTGGGAATGTGGACCGAAAAAACCCAAACTTTTCTCGGGCGAGAGACCCACTGAAAATTCCCCGCGTCATCAACATGGAACATTCCACCTTATACTCCGTACGTAGTCCTGTCATGTGTCTGTTATGCCGATTTTTTTTTCGCTAGCAATTATCATATTCTTTTCAGGTTTCCAAGAACTGGTACTGCACTAAATCTCTCAGCGTTGCGACATCTGCCGCGATACCGCAACTTGTAATTTATATCACACATGTCACAAAATCGATTATCGATAATATCAAAACTCTGATCTGGGGCCCCGGTTCTACCAGTATTGTGTCATGGCAACGTGGGCCTTGATGCATCTAGTATCTTATTCAGAAGGAACAGACGAAGTACCCTATCGTTTTCAGGTAGCAAGTGTATTGGCCAAGAACATCCCCTCGAGTGACTGCAGTGACGAGCATTTGCCGAGGTCCAATAGTACAATAAAGCGCTGTGCGTATATCTATTTAGGGCCGACTCGCAGCCGGCAGTATAACTCCGGAATGTACACTGTGATTCTAGACAGCTTGTTGCTTCATAATCGCTGCAATGCAGATGAGGAATAGATTGGCAATACCAATCGCTATGGGGCGAGTGACCGTATAAGGAATTTGATCAGGCATACAGTGTGATATTGACTGGGAAGATCTCCTTGGACTAGGAAAACACGTGGGATGCTGGAATCATTGGGTGGTTTCGCGCCTGAGGCAAAAGGCTATTGAGCTTTGACGATGGACAAAAACGTCTTATCTCGGATCAGTTGCACTTGATCATCGGGACTTACTCTTGCTCAGCTGCGCGTGATTGTCACGTGACTGGTCCATGCTCGGCGTTTCCCATGATGCCAGCCGCCATCTTTCGACTATGCTCCAATCACCAGAGAGCAGCGGTGAGGTATGTATTCCAAGCCACAACACAATCGAAAGCTATTGAGTTCGTACCTGTTTACCAACTCCACAAGATCTTTGCTAACAATAGCCTTTACTTTCATAGCCTTCCGCTCCGAGCCGAAGCACGGGGATCCGGCTGTCTTCGCCCGAAACGGAGGAGTATGCGTTAATTTTCCTAGCTGCTTTGCTCCATATTTTACTATGATACGGCAGCACGACATGAAGGCATGTTGCCTTTGTCGACTCAGTGCGCGATAGTATCTTGATAGGCTCCGGCACGTACTGCATATGCGCCGAAACGTTCAAATTCTCCGACAAGATCCGATACTACTCTTTTCCCTTGTCTGGGGCACGACACGACATGAATGGAGTCTGACCCGGTGCCAGCAGACGACCAAGATCCGTAAGGGTGCAAGCTACTCAGATATATTTGTATCTTTGAGGTCGCCGTACTGCAAACTTTATTTGTACAGCCCCAAGATCTCGTAAGCGCACCAAGGAGCTGTCAAAATCTGTAATGATAGGCTTGCCGTCCCGCCGTGAATACCTATCTCCTCCAAGATCTTCGTATCGTGACCATATTAGCCCTGTTAGCTCGTCACGTTTGGAGCATCAGATGTCGACGAAAACATCCCAGTGTCTCGTCGCTTATGAAACCACAGACTGGATATGGGCCAATGGCTTTGGTCAGCAAGGTATCCCGGCTTGGCACTAGAAGCGGCAGGCAGATTGGTTGTTGCGTTTGTAGTTAGGATCGGCTGCGCGACACGGGGCTAACACATGCGTACAAGCTCTCTCCTTGCAGTCCCCATTAGACTAGGCTCGGAAAGGGTACGCCTGGGAACGGGGTACCCGGTGGGCGTCTGTTCAAATAGCATTGACATGTCTTCGCTTGCTATAGCATCATGTTAGGGGCCTCGACATCCTACATGCAACGGCGTGGTTGCGCAACGGTCGTTTGACCATATTATCCAATTGGTTGCTGTCGCTACTAACGCAAATGCTTCTGGAAGAACCAACGCCTCCTTGCTCGTATTACAGGCCGCCTTGTCTTTTTCCGCTAACACGACTCGCAACGACCGGGCTTGAATATACTACCACGTAAACCCTTCTCGAGACGCCAATCCCAATGTCTGGTCTCTTCCTCTGAGCGCAGACTTCGCACCTATGCATTTTCGCCTCATCCTCCTCCTCGTCATATACGCCCTGCTCAACATTGGCCATGCTCACGTCGCAGGATCGGACCTGGACCCCAGGAAACTGGGCATCAATGATATTCCAGAATGCGGGGTTTGTAAAACTTTGAATTTCCTTGTACCTGCTGACAGTTTTCCAGCTCGTTTGCATGATATCGAAAATCTCTACGAGCCATTGTACTCTTGGAGACATCGACTGCATTTGTGGCGACAGGGATCTCACGATGCGTGTGGGGAGCTGCATGGTTGCCAACTGCACAATGCAAGACAGCTTGGACACCGCTAGGGTGCAGGCCGACTTGTGCAACCTCCCCAATGATTCGAAACGTCGACGACTTTTGAACCTCACCATTGTCGTGTATGTGGTGTGTTTTACATGCGTGGTCGGCAGAACTGCTGGCAAGATAGTATCAAAACGAGTGGCGTTGGATGACTATATTGTCGTCGGTACATGGCTGTTGGGTCAAGTGCCATTAGCATGTGCTCTGTCGAGTACGTGAAATACATGGTCACTGCTGTATCTCAGTTATGCTGATTAGCCTTAGTGGTTGTACGTGGGTTCGGTGACCATCTTTGGAATCTGCAGGATGGTGCTTTAATGCCCATTCTCAAATTGTGTACGTTCAGCCTATTCATCGGTTTTCTATTCTCATTTGACTGACTTTTACCAGTCTACATCGCCGCAGCAGTTTATGGCCTCGTCCTTGGTCTTATCAAGATTGCTTTACTGCTTTCCTACCTGAATATCTTTATAGAGCCGCGGTTTCGATTACTCGCCTACATGACCATGGTTTTCATCAGCATCAGCACCATCGTCATATTCTTCCTATCAATCTTTCTTTGCTCCCCTATCGAGTCTTTTTGGAACAGAGATATCAAGGGAAAGTGCATAAGTCCCAGGAACGTCTCTTATGCAAACTCAGCCAGTGCCATCGTGCAGGATCTTATCCTTCTGGCCCTTCCCCTATTTTATATTCGGAATCTGCGCGTTAACCGCTGGCGTAAGTGCGCTGTTGGTTTCATGTTTGCTACCGGCACCTTCGGTTGTATCGCAACTATGATTCGGATGCACACTCTGACCCGTTACAATATCTCTTTTGATCCTACATGGGACTACGCTCCACTTGTCGCTTGGACCGAACTAGAGCTTGCGGCAGGCTGTATTTGCGTATCCCTTCCCGCTATTCGACTACTGGTTACACGACTCTTACCAGACTGCTTCAAGGGTTTCCTTTCCCGCGTCGTAAACTCAACAGACAAATCGGGCAAGTCAACTAGCACCGATCCGCATTTGCAAGCGCCGCCCCCTTCACATCAAACTCCATCACAGCAGGAATGGTATAGGCCACTCGGTCGGAGCTGGATGTCGATTGGCGATCACAAGGATGATGATATCGAACTGAGTACCGTGGATTTACTTCCTGTACCCAAGGCCGAGACCAGGCCTGACAACAATATCTCTCCGTCTGGCAATGGCGACAAGTCAGACTTGTCGGCAATCGCTTCTATTGGATGCATTTCCGACCGTTCATATTCTGAGGAGTTCATACGCACTGAAAACGGCATAGAGGGCACTTCGACTCGCAGCGGACCTTCCTGAACCAAGACCAAGATTCGGATATACATAAAAGGCAAAAATAAGTCTGGGTACTTTGACTATACGACATGACAATACAAATCCTGGCGTTCTACGTCTGCTTATCCAAGCACATATCGCCATATCCAACACCACCAGCATATCTGTACCCGCTGCTATATACCCAAGATCCTCGACGTCTCGAATCTTCGGCTTTTCACACTGCAAAATAGTCGCAACAGGATCCATGCCGCTCAAGGTGCCGTTATCTTCACTCGCCATATCCTGTTTGAACTGGAACGATGATCACCAGAGGACTTTTCACGAATAGTAATGTTTAGAATGAACCCCGCCAACCCTGTGAGTGGCGGAAATGTGTAAAACTAGAGAATGAATAGAAAGAGCATGAATCATGGACCGCATTCCGGATCCTTCGACCTGTGTTTCAATTCTACCTCGCCGAAGACCTTCGTATTTATTACCGAGGCTCGCTTACCGAACTGCTCTTGAGCTTTTCCGAGAAAGATCCTGTGGGTTTGCGATGAGAAGTGGGGGATCAGAATTAGTATGCCACGTCGCGACAGGGATAGAGGACCTGGAGCTATCTGACCATCATTTGACGAACGGGTCGGTGGTGCTTCGGGGAACCTGATCCACACGCGTCAAAGATAGGACGTACTACTACCCTGAACCCGGAAAATCATGGGTTTCCCGCACATCTGTCTCTCCCTTCCGTACCTTCATTTAAGCTCAAGACGTCAAAGAGACGTCAGCGGAGTGACGCATGTTCCCCGTCGGTCAAATAGAACATAAATTGCGTGATGCCTGGCCAAAGAGCTAGTGGAACACGTGATCTCGGATTAATCGATGCTCCCAACCAAACTCTTTTCCCGGCATGCCTAAGCAGTAAATTGCCCAGCATCATGCGATTTTTATCTCGTTCCAGTAACGATCAGAAAATGGCTATGGCGGCACAATGAATCCACATGGGAATGACTCGCTGCGATTGATCTAGGATCCTGGGTGGCTGCTGATGTGGCGGTCTCGAACAAGCGTAATCCAAGAATGGCACGACCACCACCTGCGCAAGCGACCTGTCAAAGCTCCGCTTGGCGCACGATCAGGGAGGTAATGCCGAAGAAACCCCCTAAATCTGGACCCAGATATTCCACTAAGAGTCTTACATGAATAAGTTTTGATGAGAAAAGGACTTGCTGTTGGGGGAAGAAATCTGGGACTGATCTACTATAGATCTACTCGTGGCTATTGACCGGCATATGAAACATATCCTGTCGCCATTGCATGATCGCATTGTAGCGGAAAGTTTCGCCGCGTCGAGTATTGCCATACTGTAGCTCATTTATTCGTTTCAGAATATTAGATCTGCACTATACACGTTGAGAGAATTACAAAAAGTGAATGTACTAAGGCATAGGGTACGCATTCTATGGCTAGTGGATGGGAGCTAAGTCGAGCGTATCTCGCGCTATTTCAGCTAGTAAATCAACTACACTGAAATCTTTCTCGTGCCCAGCAAAATGCAACCCCGCGGAGGCTTCTTTCGCAGAAATTATTGTATTGAGATGCAGTGGGCTGAAAAGGTGCTGCTACTACGGCGAAGTCTAGCTTAACTGTGTCGGTATTATAAAAATCTCCATTATTCTTCGCTGACAAGTGCGAAGAACGTCGCCCGAGCGGCAGTTTAAAGTTCACGATGTAGTGGGTTCAAAGCTTATAATATCCGTACCAAAGTATGCTTGCAGGTGACGTGTTACTAGTTGCAGGGGCAATCGCTCTCAGAAAGGCGAGAGAAAAGGGATGGAAGAAAAGCCAGTTGCATCTGAGATGCTGGAACTAAGAGCAAAACTCAGGAAAAATGATATAGTCAAAACCAGTATTATTGATGACGACAGGGAGGTAGTTGGTACTAGCTGCCGTATGTGAATGATGACGGGCCAAGACACTAAACCCCATCCAGAGAGGTTCGACGCTACCCTGTAAGGGGTGTATGATGGTAAGAGAGACGACCGATACTTGGGTTTAAAAAAAGAGCAAGTGATATTCCCCTTCCTTTGGGAGTTCTTCTATGACCCGATAGCAATCAGCATTGACGAACAAACTCAGACCGACACCAGCGCTCTATCTAACGCACAAAACGGACTACAATTAGGGAACGGCGCGTGACACATAAGCTCTATGTGTATACGTCACGGGGTTGTAGTCCTGGGATCTTGTCAACAACATGTGTCGGCAGGTAATCCCAAGGAGATATAGCCATCGTGTCACCAGAGGATTGGATAATATCCGGACCAGGTGCTTTCAACCTTGCTGCAAATCAGTTTGAACACATGCAGATATTGATGCAACGCAAGGGTGCCTTCTTTAAGGTTATGGAAAAGCACGGATGACGCAAAGTCTTTCTTTATCTTTTGTTTTGGAACAGCTATCTCTCCTACAATAACATCAACCAGCTATACAGTGTTGATCTTTTGTCAACTGCTACTACTATGAAATCTCTCAGTATCATTAATCTCGGTGGTACTGGTGCTTATGCAGTTCGCGCGTCCTTGAGACTTAGCATCCATGTGCACAACATCTCCGAATAGCTTGAAGCCCCAGATTCAGATCGAAATCCTCGGGCTTTCGTAATTCCTAGCCGGAATGTAGGGGTTGTACAAGCTAAGTTGGATCGTTTCAATCGTGATATAACTTGTCTTCACTGTGATTCTATCGTACCGCACGAACATGTTGGACAAAATTACCGAGGCCAATCCGGCGCGTTCACATCCTTATCATTGCATCCGAAAAGATATCTAGCTCTGTGAGCGGCCCATGTTCTCGCTTGAGGCAATGATTGAAAAGCTTAGATATCCCGGGATACTCCCGGTTCCTAGTACTAGCAGTGCGTCATAGTCTCTACCACATCTACTCCGCCGCGGATGCTCATGCTATCCTAAAGGGCATCTTAGACGACGACACTTTCGGATAGCTGGGCTGAAGAAATCTCCACCTTTGTTATCATCTAGTACTGGCCGATCATATCCAGCAAATTATTTTCGCAGCTTGATCGACTGGACTTTTATGGAGCTTCTGATGAACAAAATACACATCGACAGCGTTATCAATGGGGTTGATACACGATTTATCTGCAGACATCCAGTCAGAGCGGTATCTTTGCACTTTCCGCACCCCTATGCTCCTCAAGGCTATGATTTAGAATGCTGAAAAAATTTCGATGGCCGCATTACGCCCACACAACGCGATCTTTTTGAGTGGACGAGGCACGAAGAGAACGATGCCGGACCCCCGATTACACCCAAAACAGCAAAATTGGCTGTTACTGCTATGTCTTGTCATTTCTCTGGTGCAGCTAACGATCTTAAGCTTTTCTGGAATCTTATGGTAGACAAACAAGATGTACATACTTTAGTTTATCTTTAACAGTTTGACTTGAGCACCCATTTCGATACAACTGGCCGCCATGAAGATAGCTCACTGGGCCCATACACGAATGACATCGAACTTGCCGGGTACCAAAGATATCTTTCACTGAGAAGAGCCATGTTCTAAAGAAGCCAAAATCATCTGCACATGATCATTGAGTGCATTGCCGGGCTAGTGCGCGCTCAGGCTACAGTCTGTGTCAAGCCATGAGGCCATAATCATGTCATTTGCATGGCACATGAACTCCCACATGGATGACTCTGGGCTATCTTTCGCGGCTTTGTAGTCACACAACGTAAGAAAACTGGGGCACGTCAAACGCTCAAAAGCGTCTTGTACTGACACGTGAAACATGAAACTTGGCAAAAGTTTGTGGAACCTGGAATAGTGTACATATTGAGCAATGATATTGCTTGTACAAACGGTAGAAATTGCCAATACCCAAATTTCAGGCAACAAGAGCGGGGCTGGGTATTGTTCGAGGTTCTGTTTGAACCAGGCAACTGCTAATGAGGATATGCAGTGAAGGGAGCGAACGTGAAGAGTTAATCAAGTGAAGAAGGAATGAGTCAGAAGATTGCGCTCAAATAGGCAATTCTGTCAATTCAGTGATCACACGACTATCCCACAGCGCGGATTGACATGTGTTGCGTACGGATTTGGAAAGACAAACGCGCCAGTCCGCAAGCTATAAGATGCGGCCATCTCCCACCTCCTCCACAGAACCCTCAACCATATATTTAATTGTTATATTCTACCCACTCTCTTCCTATCACAGCTGAGCGTCACATAATAGCCTTCGTAGATCATGATAGATCACGAAGTTATTATATAAGACCGATGCAGTGCGTCGGCGACTCGAGAACTCGGCAATAGCCGATTCTCGAGGGCGTTCCCCGATAAAGAGAGTGTATATATAACACCACCAGGATAACTCGAGAGAATTCTCGCGTCGGTATGCCGAAGCCTTATATACAACGTATCCACTCCCCGATCACTTTTCATTCTACGTACATGACTGACATCATTGCAGATATAAGACCCGTGGCATATGGCCCATGGGCATTCGTAATTCGTATTTATAGTTTTCTATAATCAAACGGTGTACGAGGCCCTGCTTCAACTGCACTACCCACCTATTAGATACTCACTATCCCACTATATCACCGCTGCAATGGAAGACTTTCGCTTCCCAACCGAAAATCCAATGCTCCCGGATTACAAAAAGAAAGGGTGCATTATCAACGTCGAGCTGATACGGATCACGGCAAAATTCTTCAAGCACCTAAACATCTTCCCCGAAGACGTCGAGTGGCTCGAGAACTTCCTGAGTGAGTTCAAGGGCAACACATCAACCTACTTTGCTCCGTCGTCTGAGGTGAGCTTGCTGGAACGCTATTGCCGTGAGTACTGGCAGATCAACCTTCGCTTCCAGCAAAACGTGCCAAAGCGAATGGATCTTGTACGGCTGTTCAAGTCAGAGGACTCCAAAAAGGCAGCTGCACGCCCGGCAGCCCTCCCCTCCTGCTTTCGCCCACAGGGCAATAAAACCATTCATCCCGGTAAGACCAATTGAGACAACATCAGCACTGAAAGACACTGATCCTCGCAGAACTCGAAGCCTTGAGGGAGGAATACGAGACGGCGTGGGGCGTCGAGCCCTCGTCGAGTGGTCCTTCCCAACCCAGGGAGAGCTTTACGGAGATGGTCGCCAAGGAAGAAGAAAAAGAAAGGTTGTATGGACCCAAGGTCACCGGACCAATGTTTGCTCGCGCTGTGTTCGAATCGCTCAAGGAGTTGGAGCCCGCTGGTGCAGCCGATGTCGACTGGCCGCGATTCATTGACTTGTATGAACGCGCGCATACCACCCTGGCCGAGAAACGTCTTGAGATCGAGTGTGAACACATCATGAATCGGGCTGAGTTGGAAAAGGAGGTCGCAGGACTGAGTCTGTCGGAGAAGAAGGACAAGCGCAAAGCAGGAGAAGAATAACTCAGGTATGGAGATAGGGTATGGAGAGAGGGCATGGTGATATGCAAACACCCATGGCTTTGCTAGCGATTGCTGGACATTTTCTGTGTACTGGGAGTCACAGCGGATAAACATCATATAGATAGTATATAAAATAAGTAGTTTGACAGCCCAGCTGGCGGTGCTGAAGTGGGGTGCAGCTTAAGCTCCAATTTCAGCACCACGAGTTAGGCTACTATTAAATTACTTATTTTATATACCATCTAACTATATGATCTTAATGCAGCTGAAGCTGCAACAAGACATGTTTTCTTCCTGCGTCAAAGCTTCCTCCCGACCTTTCCACAAATGCAAACTCCCTCGTGTCACTTTCACTTTTAGAATGCGTGATTTTACGACTCAATCCATGAAAACCGCTACTATGAAAGCTGACGGAGACAAACCTTGCCCTGCACGGTACAATCCCTGCATGCATAGTAATTCGGAACTTGCCCTTTACTCATACTGCCATTTGAAGCTACTTGTGTGAAGTATTGTGATCCTGGAACCCTTGGTGTATTTCTGTATCTCTCAATGAACTCTCATACCTCTGCTACCACTGATGAGGGGACACTGCCCATCGGGATCGTGTTACCCTTATGCAAGAATTTGAGCCCTATGCTAGCTGCTCTATCTGCTGGGGTAAGGAAGGTCTCTGTCCATTGGCGTTTACTCGATGAGTAATTAGGTGCAAAGCTTGATGCGGGATGTGATTGTGCTGGTTTCTTGGTCCTCTACCACATCCAATTGTGACGCGTATAATTCACTCATGCGGTTTATTGGGACAAGGTTTCTTAGGCATGGGTCTATTGGACAGGGGGGTAAGCGAAAGGCAAGGGAAGGATAATGTGGGCAAAGACAATAGGTCGGTGACATGGGGATGTTGGCGATTTCACTTTTGATTGCTGGCTACATCATATATGTCAGGATCAGGGACATATAGCCATGCTTACTATAAACTACACAACATGAACTGCAGCCAATTCATCCATGTCTTATGTCAAGATATTCCACTTCCAACGTACCATCCCGTCCCGTGGATTTGATTATTCGATAAGCCGCCATCACAAAAAGCATAACGTCACGTTTACAAAATATCAAAACTTACACCTGCGATGGCAGATATCAAATTATGTTATTTAGCATCACCTGTCGACCAGCGACCTTTTTCCATAGTTTGAAACCACGCCTGACGCCTTGCACGTAATCAATATGGTAATGGATCAGTTAGCAGCACTGCCACGACAATAAGATCGCTGTCTCTGCTCTTCTTCAGGTGATCCTTTTCTGCGCCTCTGTCTCGTGGACTAGGTAGTAGTATAGAAGACCCCCAAGACACTAGGCGGTCTCAGTCTTTGGCACCGAACCGTATCCAGCAGAATTCTTGGGATCCGCTGCCATGAGTTCAGCACTGTAGATGCGCTTGTAGTCCTGCTCCGTCCAGCCTTGCTGCTGTGCGAGACCGCTCAGGCTGAGGCCTCGAGACCGCGACTTCTTCTGCGAGTCGCCTTGGGAAAGACCAACAGGCGAGTTGTAGTTGAGAGGTACGACACCCTGTCCTGGGAGTGGGAAAGGTGTAGACATGGACGCAGGCGAGGCGACGGTCTGACCGTTGTTGTTGTCGGGTAGCTCTGAATCGGTTGAGAAGTCAGACGATACGGATGCCTCCTGGGCCCTCTTGAGCGCATTCTCGTAGTTGGTCGAGCTGGCGCGAACAACACCAGGTCGGCGGTATCCCGTGTATGCCTTTAGGGCCTCGGTTGGGCCGTTTTGGGTAGGTGTCTCGTTGCCGCCACCGCTGCCCATCAAAGGGAGAAGACGAGGATCGGGAGCTGCCGAGTCGGTCTGGGCGGTGCTGTTTGCGGTAAGGGCCTCTTCGGCCTGGGTACGTGTGCTAGGTGTGAGGCCAGATGGAGTGAAGCTGCCCGAAGACAAGAAAGACCCTTCGGTCGGCGGCATGAAGGACGGCCTCGAAGTCATTGTGGTGGTCTCGCTGTAAGCGTCTGGGTGCAACCTTGGAGAGTCGACGAGAGACTATAAATTAAAAGTGTAGAAACACGGGAAAGTCCTTGAGTCCAGGTTAGTTAGTTAAATGCATCCAGCAATACATCTTGTCCCTGCAGAAAATGGGCAGGTACAGTATGCTTATTGGTCGAAAGCAAGGGCAATGGGGGACCCGGCAACAAAAGCTTACCTTGAGTGTCTTGACTGTGCGGAGTGTTGGTGTGCAGAAGGAATTCAAACAATTCGCTGAAGGGGCCCTGTCCCAAGCGACGTTTCGTGTATTTGAACCAAAGGCGGGTGATGCTATGCCATCATATCTTGGCGGGTGACGTCTTTTCAGGGTCCAAACTTGCGGGGCCCTTTGGCCTAACTGCAATGGGCAACCCTGCGTGCTGCTCAATAGACAATGTTTCGGTGGCAAGCGAGATGCAGGATTGCAATCTAGACCGTTGAGTGGTTGGGTGTGGTGGAGATGCTCTGGGATAGGTGGGAATGCCCGCGGCTGCAAGGGAGTTGCATGTCGCGGTGCGCTAGGGCTACGTAGACGCGGAAGCAATGATGCTATACACGGTATCCATAGGGTGGTGTACTCTGACTTAGTGGATTGGAACAACGAGTCTTTATCGTGTCCGCTGCGCGTGACGACTTGCGGCCTGAGGAAATGGTTGGTCGCATGGAGGACCAGCATCCAACTCCCTTGATCAAAACTTAGTGTCCAGCATGGGCTTGCAGTTGGAGGACCGCGATAGGATTGAATACGAGGGAAATTACCTCTGCAAGTTCTATCCACAGGGCAGTCTAGAATCAACAGAAGAACATCTCGTCCCACACTGCTGCCAGTCGATCAATGCATTGAAATCATGCGATTGGATGCCATGCATCATGAGGTCATTGTCATCCTGCCAGCAGCCAAGCACGAGAACGTCAGACCTAAAGATCGAGTGATATAGTACTAGGGCGAGTGAGTAAATTTTTTTCTTTCGTTTTGGGCAGACATTTAGGCGTTGTAGTTACAGAAAACAAGGGTCCTTGTAGTATGCACACAGTAGGCCCGAGAAGTGGCCGCGCTGAGGGTTGCAAGCAAGGTCTTCCTTGAGTAGCGGAGCTATTCCCAAGACAGTATAGGCTGAGATACTGCAAACTTGAGCATTTGTTGTGCCTAGATGCAGCGGACCAGAAAGAAATCATGAGTCTCGGCGGCGGGCTTTCTTGAATGCAAACAAGCAGTCTATTCAACTTTTGAACATGGAGATATGAGGAGCACACAAGAATCGCCCGCCAGCGCCGGATCATGCTTTGGAATCACTTTTACTGTATCTATAGGTCCGAGCCACGAACTCATCATGGAGAGCCAAGATACTTGCTCAGGAACTGACCCAAAGACCCAAGCAGAGGGTACCGAGTACTGATGTCTCCATTCCGCCCCAGCCATATGGCATAGACACCAACGAGAACGGCAAGACTGACAGCTCCGTATCGGCGGTAGAACCAAAGACGTAGCTTGAGATACTCGACATTCTTGGCCGCACGTCGCAGGGCCTGTTGTCTGCGGAGGTCCCTCTCCTGCTGTGCGAGGAACATTTCTCCGTCTTCTAAGGTCAGGCGACGAAGACTGTCGCTGGTAGCAGAGGATTTGAGCACGCTGGACGATGAGATGCGCCACCACTCCCAACTATTGAGGCGGGCAGGCGGCAGTCTTTCGTATAGTTCTACAGTCCGGGCGATATGAAACTCGACATCAAACGGTTGTGGAAGTCGGCCCAGCATGACATAGAGTATGTCTTCGTCATCCTGGTCAATTTCTAGCAGCTCGTCCCTCTTGGAAAGTACAACCGCAGCGAAGAGATAGATGGGCATTACAGCATGCCGAGCCAGAAAGAAGTCAAACAATCTTGTGATGTCCTTGTAATCTTGTATGTTGTGTGCGAACATAGTGATAGTGCCAGCAAGGGCAAACGAGGGTTGGCTCTTTGGGAGATGGTCGTACAGGACCGGGTCGGCCGCGCGAAGAATAGGCCGAAGCAGTTCTAGTTGGGCGAGGGCAGGCTCAAGCGATGACAGCATAAAGTCACGGATGCGCAGGAGACTCAGGCGTGCGACTGCAGCGGGGGCATGCTCGGGGCCGAGGACGAGGAGAAAGACCTGGACGATGTCATGGTAGCCCTGAAAGTAGGATAGCGAGGGGTGCCGGCGCAGGACGTCGAGGATGACGTAGGAGAGGTCCTTCTTCCGCTGTTGAAGCTGCTTCTCTGATTCTGATGGGGAGTTAGCATGTGAAGACAGTAGATTCCGGCACGGCCTGGCCTACCGTTCCTGGGGTAGTAGACAAAGGCCCGATTGACGTCGAGACCAACCTGATGTTCGTCCTCGTGCTCGGGAAGGGCTGCATGGGGTTCCTTGGCTACGTCGCTCTCAGAGCATCCTAGCAAGAGGGGCCCTATGCACATCAGCCTAGTGCTCTGCACAATGCGAACGGCAAAAGCAGCCTACAAGCAGTGCGGCGCAGGCTGTCGCTGACAAGGCCATGCGATGTCGTCGCTAGATGGACGAGGGCGGCAACATCGTCATTGTCAATGGCCGCGCGAACCAATGCCTCCTTCTCCTGCTCGGCAGGCGAAAGAGTAGCGACGGGCGTGGAGTGGCGCGAAGGGAGGCTGCTGGAGCTGGCACTCACTGAGCGCGATAGAGAGGCTGACGAAGTGGGTGAAGCCATGGGCGCGGCGGCATCTCGAGACTGGCTTGATGACGTAGCCAGTGTGTGCCTCGCGTGCGCAGAAGAGCGCGCAGGGGACGGAGAGTGGCGAGGCAGGGCGAGGCCAGACGGGTGTTTCTTTGTCGACGGTGTGAATTGGTTACATGGTGGTTTGTTACGCGCAGGCAGGCTTCGCAGGCGCCAGGTTTGGCCGTGTGAGCGTCGCGCTTCCGTTGCCCTTCGAGCCGAGGGAGCTTGGCACCCCACCATCCACCGTCCACCGCAGACGTCACGTGAGCCTCAATCTCTACACACCAGCCATTCATCTCTGCTGCCGACCCTGCTCGCCGCCGGCCTCAGTGCCTCACCGATAGTCTGCCAGCCCGCGTTGTACACGACCCGCCTCGATTACGTGCATGACTCTCGCTTTTCCATCACCACCCGGTTAGTCTGGCCATCTAGATTTCGCGCCATCCCGATACTCCCTTGATATAGTATTCCCGGGCGCTAGAGCTGCAGGTCATCCCGGCTACAGCTGCCTCGAATTGCTGCTGCTGGCATTTCGCTCCTCACCTTGGCCACGGGATTCAGTCATTGCGAGACTGCGTAGACTATCGATTACATCAACTCATTCCGGCTATTGTATTCCTAAATAGCTCTGCCCCATCAACCCGGTCTGACAAACTAGCCTGCTCCGACAGGCTCAAACATGTCTCCAAGCGACTTCTTCCACAGTGTACCTTTGCACCTTTTCCTCACTCCAGCTTGAGTATTCTGTCCGCGGCTTCACAATCTGACCATCACTGTCGCCTCCGAACTGTCGCGTCCTGCGATCGTCTTTTAACTCTTCACTATGGCGCAAGCCCATGGCCTTAGGCTTGTCGACGGCGAGTGGGTCTCTATGCCTATCGACGCTTTTCATATCTTGGCCAACACTCAGCAAAATGACACCCAAATGCCTAATGTCGCCCCCAAGGCTGCTCATCGGGTGCCCGAGTATGGCATACTATCGCAGACAGTCATCACTACTCCTCTAAACAAGCTCATTTTACCCGCCAGCATACGCCACGGCGACTTGGTTGATGTTGTCATTGTTGGCGAGGACTACATACATCTCAAGGAAATTCGTGATCATGGCCGTATCCGCCATGTGGCAACCAAAACTGACTTCAACGGCGGCCGTATCATAACCGCCAAGGTGTTCGGCCATCCACGCGAGGTGCCTAGCACGAAAATTGGCGGCCTCCCTTTGCCAAAGACCGACTTGAAGCAGATATCACGACGGCCAGCAAGTGAACGGAAGATCCATTTGCCCCCAGAAGTCGTTGTACTCACTCTCTCCAATAGGACGCTCATGTTCTTGTGGGCCCAACATACTCACACAGGTCTGAGCACTTTCACACAAAAGACTGTCAGATTACCCGCAGGAAGCTCACGGTTTGATCGTTTCGGCAGTATCCTAGCTGTCGATCCCCAGTGCCGGGCAATAGCTGTTGCAGCGCATGAGGGTCGCTTCATCCTCTACAAAACCAAGTCCATGGCGGCTTGGGAAGCCGAGGCTAACAAAGGCCGCGAGATGCCAACAGCTATTGAAGATGAGCGTATCATATCAGTCCAGGGGCAAATCATGCACATGGACTTTCTATCCCCTGGAGAAGATGAGTATCACGTTGTTCTTCTTTTAGTCATTGTTCTCGATGGCCGAACAAGGCTTTCTTGCTTTGATTGGGATTGTAGGCAGGATCTTAGCGAAGCAGCAGCACGCACAGAGCGGTATTATGTTCAAAAGGGTAGGTCAATAGCCGTGGAGGTGCACATTCTTGTAACTACTGCTAATTCATCAGAGGACACTATGCCTTCACTCCTAATCCCTCTCCGCCGTAGCCCTGATTTCCTCTTGGTTTTCAACGAGCACATTTCCGTATACAAAAATATCCTCTCCGGAGACCCAGCATGTGCGGTGGTGCCTATCGATCCGAGCTTGCTCATTCCACTCCTACCAGGTGACAGTAAATCAAGACCAAAATGGACAGCGTGGGATAAAACCCTACGCAATCCAGGCTACCCGAAAGAGAGCTTCTACCTAGCAAGAGAGGATGGACGTATCATATATCTGGTCAGAGGACCAGCTGGGACTGTAGAAATGGATGAGGTCGGCGAATGGTCACATCGCATCGACACTGCTTTCACATGTTTGCGGATTGATGGCTCTGAGACTTCGCAGCAGTATCCGGATTTCCTGATTGCTGGCGGGGCTAGCAACGACGGTCTGCTATGCAAGGTTGGACCATGGCTAACCGAGTATTCCCATCACGAACCGAGGACGAATTCATTTTCGTACATTGATTCGATGCCTAATTGGACGCCTCTTACAGACTTTGCAATTACCAAGCTTTCTACTCCACGCGCCTCCAGTGAGCGTCAGCGGGCTTCGATATTCGTTGCCAATGGAAACAGTCCGTCTGGAGAAATTTCCGAGCTCAGACACGGAGTGCAAGCCACAGTGGACGATAGTTTCAGTGGAGTCAATGGCTGTGCGGGCGTATGGGTCGTCGATCACGGGAGTCACGTGGTTGATATCGAAGGCATAATGACAAGACAGCATTATGCAACATTGACAATAACACTCCCACCAGAGACCCTTGTGATTCGTATTGTACGCACGCAACCGGAGTGTGACAGAGCCTTCTCTGGCGCTTGGGAACTAGGCTCGTGGGACAAGTTCCAGACACCGAGCGACGACGACCCACTTGAAGACAGCCTTGCGCGAGACGAGGAGACAATATCTGCATGCCCTTGGGCAAGGAATGTATCGATTCAGATTACAAGGAAAGAAGCTCGCACGCTCCTTCGACCAACATTGCGCCAAGTCGACATACTGAGATTTGAAACGTCACTCTTGTTAGCTGCTTCTCGCCCTACGCATCCGTTCATCGCAATTGTTTTTCGTGAGCAGGGATGCATATTCCTAGAGATTGTACCGATATCGGATGACGGCACCTTCGACAGGACAGCCAATTTCCGTCAACAGCTGCCCTACGATCCCACATGTGTTGAGATATTGGAGATTGGGGGTATATCATACGTGTTTGTCAGCACCTTTGATTGCAAAATGATGCTTTTCAAACACCACGACCGTCAGACATCTTTGGTGATGGAAGGTACCTGGGACCAAGATTTGCCCGGCGGTTCACAGAAGCTCTGTGAGAGTGTCGCGGTCTTAAGCTCAAATGACCAGCACATCCTAGTCTGTGGAATGCGGGACGGCACTCTTTTGAGCTCTGCATTGGAGATACGAGACCAAAGTAAGTCTGATGCGAAATGCATATGAGATATAGCTAAACTCAGCCAGGAATCTCCCCTATTTCTTGGACATGTACGCACGTCGGTACAACCCCAGCCAAGATTACCAATAGTGAGACTGATGCCTCTTCTGCATTTGTGTCCTGTGGTTCAGATTTCTGTCGGGTACAATTTCCCAGAAATGGGTCATTAGATCTCGAGATTGACTGCATATGGTTCGCCGACCGCACACAACCTGATTATGACCAATCTCCAGTATCCGCTCTATATCAGCTACCCTTCCTCCCAGAGTTGGAAAAGTTTGGAAGAAATCTTGGGGGCTTTTTGTTCGTTGTTGCGGGTGACCGTCTCCTTTTCTCCCAACTTGAGTCGGACATCAGATGGGCAGGTGACAGCACACCTACCCAACCCTTCTGTGACTCCAGAATGGTCCCACGAAAGATGATTACAGGCGCTAAGCCTACAAGCATACTGTATATGCAAAAACTGCGGCGGGTTGTTGTCTCAACGATGGAAGCAAAGGAAAGTCATGCACCACCACATGGCGAGCGGGTCTTACACTCGTCAATCAAACTGCTTGAGGTGCGCGATGATAGATCAACCAACGATATGGAAATAAAACAAGAGGAACGAGACGGCGTTCCAGAACGATTAGTCGTAGCCCAGTTCTCGCTACAGCACGCGGAAAGAGTATATACTATGGTCGAGTGGCAATTTGTCACTCAGCGGGATAAAAAGTACTCTCTGATCATTGTAGGCACGGGTGTACAAGTGGGAACAAGCCGACAAACCGGGAGGCGACTGATCTTCAATACTGGAAGGTCAGGCTCTAAGCTAGAGCTACAAAAACAGTCTACCTACGACCAACCAGTCTATAGCATTGCATTATGGGACAACAAAACTACTGTTGGTGTCACTGGAAGAAAGTTGTTCATGGAACAATTCTGTGAGGATGACGGAAGGTGTGTATCCTCTGTTGCTTATACGAGAGGCTGACTAATTTCTTACAGGTGGACTCAATGCGCATGGATAGAACTTCCTTCACCTGGCATACATGTTTCCGTTGAACGTCCTTATGTTTACGTATCAACACTCCAGCACTCCCACATGTGTTTTCAGCTAGTGGATAGGGATCGCCCTGGTGATTTCGTTTTTATCCCACAGTTTTCCGATAGCGGTGTGCGCAACTGCTCGCGGCATCTCGTCATGGACGTGCCGAGTGTGAGTGACGAAAAAAGGGACCGTTTCGTACTTGTCACAGATAAGAAGAGTAGTTCAGTGGCCGCTCTCTATCACCCGCCCGAACACACCTACAGTAACGCATCGGAAACGCTGTTTGAAGCGTGCCTTCCCCGCGCTGTAGTGCGTATCGATCGCGGTGACATCCGTCCGCCATGGCGTCGAGCAAACCATAGTGGCAAGATCGCTGGTGTTCTTGCAGACGACATCTTCGGTGCTTGTACCGACGGCACCATCTTTGCCTTTTCTATCCTCTCTCAGTCATCACGCCATCTCTTGCGCTTGGTACAGAATCTCATTGAAGTCAAAACATCGCGATCCGCCGTACACCAACACGACAAGGTCAAGCCTCGAAGCGGAGACATCTTCCGTATTCTCATGAACGATACTTCGGGGGCTCAACATGGCGACATCATGATAAGAGATGTAGATCCGAGACACCTGGAACGTGCTTCTCAACGTGGACCACGGCATAAACACGTCGATGGCGATTTACTCAAGCGATGGCTGAGTGAGAGCGACAGCGACGTACAAAGTCTAGTTTGCAACGGCGTTGATACTGAGATTAGCAAGCTGTTCGAGGAGTTGGCGCGAGATGTTTGTGGTGAAGAGTCGGATGGCAAGGGGAAGGGGATGAAGGAAGATAGAGAGGTGTTTGAGCAGGTGAAGAGGTGGATGTGGAATGTACTCATGCCCTTGCTGTGAGTTGTGGGGGCTTATGGATATGCACAGGCAATGGCACAAGGGGTTTTCCTACACACGTGTGATGATGGGGTATATTCTCATCTTTCGGATTTCAACACTTCATTCTGACATTGAGCGAACTGCTGCGACCAGTTTTGTAGGTAAATCTACGTTTTCATGAGATATCAGCAATGCCAGAATCGACAAAAGCAAATCACATGTGATGGAGAAGGAATAGAAAGATAGGTTGAGAGCTTTATAAATGCGATGATGGTATTTGAAGTTTCGGGTATAGTATCGCTTTTTGTGAGAACTTCATGAAAGAAATGGCAATAAAATAAGGCGGGGTGAGATTCGTTGCGCCGTTTACTAACGTCATAACTATCCTACATACCAGGTTCATTCGTGAGATGCATAGTGATTGCTGCTTGATAGTCTCGTTCCGAGAATGTTCGTCACTTCTGGGTGAAACTCCGTTGCTCTTCCTTCACGCTCTCTAGAGGCAATAGCAACACTTCGACAGATCCTCCCTGTGCGCGAGCCCCTGCCCATCATCTTGGCTTAAATCAACAACCAGAGTCCCTTATTGTTCTTTGTCACCACCAACTTTGGTAGCCGTGCCAGCCTCCGTCTCGCTACCAACCCTAGCCATCGTTCAAGACAAGTATCGATATCCGAGGATTGTCTTATTTACCCGCTTCCCAACCGAGATCTATAGATACAGCAACCTAAGTCAATATCTCCATTCACCTGTGCTTTCTCAAGACTTCCGATATGGCAGATTTCATATTTCCCGAAAACGTGAATACTTATGAAGACGAGGTTGCGCAATGGATCTCGGAAGGAAACGACTTGGATGCATGGAGGTAATTTGCATTTCACGTTTCACTCTTACTTGACTGACTCAAATCAGGGGAGCTCCATCTAGTCCATTAAGCAGCGACTCATCCAGCACCACCAACGAAGGCTCGACCTCTGACTTTTTCTGGTACAATGGCAGATGGTATACCTACACCACAGATGTCAGTCCGGATCTAGAGACACTTGCACAGAGTTTATGGGACGGCCGAATCGATCTCGAATCAGAAGTTAGCGAGGTACCCGCCGGCCCTCTAGTCACCGAGGATGACCAAGAAGACGGTAGTAAGATATCTTCACAATCGATCGAACAAAACACATATATCCGAGAGGATACGCCCATTCCCGACTGGGGCCAGAGCGATCACACAAAATCTATGTCGCAAGCTAGTGAAGCAACCACCACGAGCCGAGAAGCTACTCCGGTCCCTGAACAATCAGCCTCGCAACCGCCTTCCATCGAAAAAGACAATGCCAAACCCTCAGCTTCCAAGCCGGAGGAACGAGACCATTTTCCCGTGTGGGACGGTCCGACCAGATGCCCATATCGCTGTCGAGCTTTACTAGATACAGAAGAGCTCTACGTCTCACATATGCGCACACACAAAGGTAGGAGTTATACCTGCGAAGCGCCCGGCTGTAGCAAAGTCTACGTTCACATGAGGACCTTGAGAAAACACCAGCGGCAGGCCCACGGCAATCCTCAGAGCGGCGGGTGCGTAGTATGGTCCGAGTCGTAGCCTGCTAGAAAAGGCTGCGAGGTATTTGGAGCAACACAAGGCGTTTTGATTTGATGGTGTAGCGCTGATGCTACATTGAATTCGTTTGTTTACGGGTTTGGTGGGATTTTGTATCGCATTCCCGGTTTAGCAGTGGTCGTGAATCACATGGTACTCTGGTGTTCGCCGTGTTCTTCATTGCTCCCAATGACCCGAAAACACTACATTTTTTCCAAAGAGAGAACATCAATGAGAATATATAATTCTTGATACATGGACTATTGTTGTACCGTGAGCCTGACGTCGAGCCCGCTCCTGCTCCATTTAGTGGATGACACACTGACTCACAACAGCATCACTCTGCCCCTCTCTCAGACTCCTTAACTCATCTCCAATTCACTACCATAGCCGGTTTTCTTCTCTTCGAAACAATCAGAATAACCCAGTATTTCTTGCTTCAGTCTTTAACTCCATTCACGATCAAATCTACTCGACGATTCCGAAGATGGATTTCAGAAACCTCCACAAATCTCACCTCTCGTGTAAGCAAAATTTCGATCGCACTTCTGCCTCCACAAACACTTACAATGTACGCAATACACGAGAGCAGATGGAACAAGATTTGGAAAGCAAGAGAGAAAAGTACAGCGCAACAGTCGATGAGATGAACTCTGCCGCGACCGAGGTTACAGTCAAGATGAAGGCTGAGATAGCAGAATTATGCTGCATACATCGAACAGCTTCCCTCGCTCGAGGAGTGTACACAAACATCCCAAATGCTTCAAGAGTCCCAGGTTATCGTCGCTCGCCAACAGCAAGACATTTCGGCGCTTGGGGAGGCCACCAAAAAGCTTGCGCAACGGCTGCAAGAAAACATGGCAGCCTCGACATACAAATGTTATGGAAAAGTTCGTGGAGCTCCTGGTCATCAATCAGAATGAGTTGATGGAAACGACCGAAGCTTGGGACACTATGACGGGAATGGTTCATGCGTTCAAGGCAAGGGTGGATGAAATGACCCGCAAGTCCCAGCCTCCACAGTGGTCTAGTTAAGATGTCACGGGTAGTTCTATGTAGTCATGGAAAAAGTTCAGCAACATGCTAATATCGTTATTGAGGTTCATAATACAATATGACCATTGAAGTTCCTTCCAGTCCATAACCGTAGGCCACGGCTGCTTCTCTCCATAAACATCGCTTCATTCTAATCTAACCAGGACCTCACACGATATTCGAACGCCATATAGACGCCGCATACATGTCTCTTCAGTTCCTTCTCCGTTCCATATACTGATTAGAGACCGGTGAACTCCCGCATGAAATGAATCTACCGTACCAATACTTCTAACTACCGAAGGAACTGAAAGTACTAGGAACTTTGGTCTTTGGGATGCTCTTGGTCTATAGCTGGGGCTGCCTGTTTGGGCGAGGCAAGTGCTGGCTGCAGAGACAGGATAAATTTTCGCTGTAGAGGTGGGGCTAGGCCTCGCTGAAGAGGCGGTACTAGACTTCTCTGCTGGCTTGAGACACGTCTTGGGTGCAAGGGCGGTACCAGACCTCGCTCCGGAGATGGGTCAGGCGCTGGTTGTTGGGACGGGATGGACGCTGGCTGCAGAGATGGTATCGGCACTGGCTGCGTGGGTGGGATAGGCATTGACTGCGTGGCTCTCTGAACTAGCTATTTATTGTCGGTTTTTCCCCTCTTGCGAACACATGTTTAGCCAAAAGCCGCTTACCATGTAACAGAATACACTTGGAAAGATACTAGAGCGGTGATTAGTGTACGATGCCGCTCTCCCTGCTTCATACAGAGCAACGACATTATCTGTGTCTGTTAGCTAAATCAAACAAAAGTCCAAAGCTTCTTTTACCTTCACTATGAAAATCAAATTCAACCGGTACGTCTGGTAGTTTGAGATACTCGTAAAGTTGACTTGCAAAGTCCACATATGCGTATGGTACTTTCTCGACATGCTCAAAGAAAAAGCTAAACGCTAGTGAGCAGCACTTGTCCCACTGCTCCCACATTTTACTTGACCGTTTGACTATTGCAGTGCCCGCGGTACGTAGCAGAGTCTTCGTTTCATCTACTCGTCGCTGGATATCGGCATGCTCTCGCGCTACATCTTCGTGCCGCTCAATCATGCATACAAGCCCCCATGCTAGTGCCGTAGTTGACAACCAATTTGATAGTCCAGCTGCTGTTTCCGACATGGTAGGGGAGAGGGCGTAGAAAGTAGGCACAGGAGATGTAGAGTAGTAGTAGATGAGCGAGGAGTGCTGCAGCGGGAGGAACAAGGGAAAAGAACATGTTGGAGAAAAAGGCGAAACCATTCTAAGAAGCTAATTCTAGGGCGTGTTGGGATACAGATGCAGCCTGCCAAGACTGGAACGAAGCCCAAAGGTGAAGGTGAGTGGCATGACAATTCAGGGCTTCCCTTCAACAATGCCGTTGTACAGCCTCGCTATTGTCCATTCTTTCATGGAAGATGGAGCAGTCACTTGGTACACGTTTCTACACCCTTTTAGTGGGCAGTATGGCCTCAATTTGCAAACTGTACATGTTTTCTAGTGTGTCGTAAATTGATGTGTAATGAGTGGTTAATATTAAGATATGTAGCTATAGTATATCATTGAAGTAGAAAGCTGTTCTTTAGCTATGAAGCTTAGTTGATGATATGCTGAGTATTGACGAGAGTCTCACAAAGAGCAAATGACATGGAAGGCAGCGTCATGTATTTTCGTGGTTATACTACGCGATTTTCAACATAATTTCGTCTTGGGGTCTTCTTTTTCACATTACTTATCTTGAAAGTGGCCGAGGGTTATATCTGAGCTCTCATCTAACCGGCTCTTCAAAAACAAAGTCTTCGCTTGCTATAGCAGACGTTGGTGAGTGATGGGTTGATCCAATTCCCAGCGGGTACACCGAGCCCGACATGCGCATTCAAGGAGCCTCACATCTGCTGAAGACTCGACATTGAAATAGTTCATTGTAACCACTTTCAACACAATGCAGCGCCAAACCAAGTTTTACATCCACAAATATAGGCCCTGTATATTTATGGACGCATTGTCAAATTTGACAATGCCATTGAGATGGGCTCATACCAACCGCGGTGGTTGCCTAAGTATACCAAACACGGTTTAGTTGGCCTCTGTGGTCGATCTCGGGGCTTCCTAGTAGTACACCACCAAATACAAACTGCACACGTCGAGGTAGGCTCACACCCAACAACGGAGATCCTATTCGCAAGACGCACAACCAGAATCCGCGCCGAAATTGCCAAAGGAAGTCGCCCAGAACAACAGGATCCTGAGTGATGTCATATTCCCTCTTCGAGACTAGTTGGATATGCCTCGTCTCAGCTCGCATTCAACGCGTATCGCAGAGCCTCATGTCCTCTTTGCAGTCCTCATCACAATCCCGTCGTTCAAATGTGCACCGGTGAAGAAAATGCTCTGATAACGCGATTCGTGTCAGGTTGGTGCACTGAAAGCCGCTCGTGGTAGTAGCAGTAGACGACGGGCGTCATGCATCCAAGCCACCGTGCCCTGCCACCTCACCATGCAGCTGTGCGATATGCGTGCCAGATGTCTCTTGGGCACTTCTATTGGACTAGCGTGCCCCTTTTGATGTGAAGGGCACTGCGTAGCTGCATATGGAGGATTATCGTAATTTCAGCCTTGCAGGCGTTGCTAGGGTGAGCGTGCCCTTTGGCTCTGCAATCGAAGGCTGGCTTAGCCTATGGGAATTTGCCCGCATTTGCATGGTAGCAATGAGGCTCAGGTTAGAATGTGTGGGTTGTGTGAGTGGGACGGCTGCTGCGACGGGCCCGAGGATGCGCATCACGGAGTGCAAGTTTTGTAGGGAGCGACTGAGTTTATTGACTACGGACCGATATGTGTATGTGAAGAAGAAATGAGAGAACGGAGATGTGCTGTAAAGACTGTAGTGGTGAGAAAGGAGAGTGCAGGGAGCAGAAAGACAAGCGACAAAAGGTAGCCGCAGTCCAAATAGATGAAGCTGAATGAGTGGCATCTATACGAGCATCATCTTCAATATCCAACATACTAGTTAAGAAGGGGGTCAGCATCTTTGTGACCTTGCCTGTAATGATCCCGCAACTTATCAGGGCGGTAGAAGGTCTTGTTGCAACCTGAGTGCTTGCATCTAAATTCGTAGGACCGATGTTTCTTCATGTGGCGGTTTCGTTCTGCTGTGCGCCCAAAGGTGACAGTGCACAACTCTACAAGACATGGGATACGGTTGTCGTTGACAATGGGACTCACGCCACCACGAGGCGCTAGGACGGTGACCGGCTGAAGAACTGGGTTGGGTGGAGCTTCGTTGACGCCGGTCACAGCTGTAGGTATGCCAACGGACATGGGCCCGAAACCATGAACGAGGTTTGACATACTTCCAAACATGTCTGTTTGGTTGTAGTCGAGTCCAGGCTGCGGTCCTCCATATCCCAGATCCATAGGGACAATGCCAGGGACGGCAGTGGGGAGTGGCTGCTCATATTGGTTGTGGTTGAATTGAGGAAGCGGTTCCTCCAACACCGGATCCATAAAACTATAGTCAGGAACGGCAGTGAGAGATGGGTCCCAATACTGGTCCTGACTGAATTCAGGTTGCAGTTCTCCATATCCCGGATCGAGGAGACCATCGTCAAGAACAGCAGTAGAGATTGGGTATCCATACTGGTCCTGTATGGATCCATGCTGCGGCCCCAGACCCAAAGGGTTACTGTCAAACGCTAGAGTGGAGGAAGGATACCCCTGTTGACTGTTGCCAGGTATGGGGGAATGATCACTGTAGTTGCTATTCGAAGAGTGGGGCTGTGGGTCCCATAGATGTTTGCGTGGCAGTATTTGACGTGTAGGGGCGAGTTGGGGGGCATACCTGCATGATGTTAAAAAAAAAACTTACCCGAATTGCGTTCCGTCATCACCGCCACCAACAATGAGATTCGAACGCCTGTTACGCTCACTGCTTCGTCCTTGGGAAGGTTGATTTTGCATGTTGCCAACTGAACCGATCTTTGTTTTGCGTATTTTCAAAGAATGGTAACGAAATCCCAGCCCTTGATTCGGGTGTAGGTTGAAGGTTAGGTCGTATTCTGTGTGTGTGTGTGTGTGAGAGAGAGAGAGAGAGAGAGGAAGATTTAGCTGATAGGGAACGGTAAATGAAGAGAATTGCAGAAAGGCAACCATCCAGTTTAATGCGTATGGGTATCATTTCCAAGTACCTCACTATGAGAATAGTGGCGTCCAATCACAAGGCACGTTGCGAGCCCTTCATCCCAGCCTTGACGCACTCTGTCAGCTATTTCAGGGAAGGCTGGGACTGATTGCTGACTATATTCATGTGTCTACCGACTTCACAAATTATACCCATCATTCAACAATTTGACTCAAACCTTTAACCATGACTTCAGAGATCTTCAAATGCAATATTTGCTCCAAGATGAGCGACACTTTGGGAAAGTTCAAGTATGTTGCTGTTTTGTATCTTACATCTGAATGCTGACACCATAAAGTCGGCACCTGAAAACACATTCAAAGCCTTTTCGGTGCAAAACATGTACAAGCGGGTTTGCTCTTGATTCAGACCTGGAAAGACATTTTAAAGCCCGCCATCGTGTTGGCAATGACCAATACCGTTGTCATGTCGATCAATGCCAGTTTCAGTCGAATCGAAAGGATCACCTCAAGAGGCATACAAGGAGATGCCATTCGAACGCGCTACTATCTGCCGACATAGCGTGCATCCCCTCCACCATAGAGGATAAGGGCATGGTTTCAGAGGCTCAGATTGATGAGACAACATTGACAGTTGGTTTTTCAAATGGGCCCTGTACTGTTTCTGTTTTCATGCAAGCTGCAATCTCCGGCGATATTACCACTTTGGATTCACTGATGGGCTTTGGATTCAGCGTCGATACGAGAGCAGATGATCAATCAACTGCACTACACTGCGCTGCCAGAAGTGGTCAGGCAAGGACGGTTCAGTATTTGCTCGACAAAGGCGCTAGTTGTAACACGTTCAACGATAAGCGCAGACAACCACTGCATGAGGCCATCTTGAGCGGCGATTCAGACACATTGAAAGCCTTGATCCAATACACACCGGAAGGCAAACACCCATACATAAACAAGGATACCATGCCTTACCTTGCACTAACTAAGAATATGGAAGTATTTGATCTGTATGCAGGACGTCGAGGGATCGAACTCACAGCCACGGACGCAACCAAAATGCTTGGCTATGCAATACGCGCAGATAACGATACAATAGTAGCGGCTCTACTAGAACATCCACAAATTAAGCTAAACAAGGTCGACAAACAGGGACATGCTCCCATACATAAAGCGGCTTTCCATGGCAGTTCAAAGGTCATGAGTGTTATGCTCGCCTCTGGCCGAATTGACACCAGTCTCACCACGCGACCCGGAAACATGAGTGCAATTCATGTTGCCGCCCGATACGGACGCACCGAGATAATCGAGCAAATGCTTCATCTCGTTAATCGCATCAACTACTTCGATCATAATCAATGCACAGCATTGCATCATGCTGCAGCCAGTGGCAAACTGAATACCATAACATTCCTCCTGAGTAAGGGCAATCTCAATCTTCAATGTCGAGACAGGGAAGATTATACACCTCTACATTACGCGGCATTCAATGGGCACTGGAAAGCAGTCCAGCTGCTCCTTGAATATACTTCTTCCGAGAGCGATTGCGATTCAATGAACAAGCCACCAGAGAATGAAGAGTTTATCAAGAAAGACGTCGTCTCTGCACTCCTCAGTCATGCAGATTTTTGTAATCCAAATTTACGTGGACCGGGAAGGATGAAAGAAAATCTCCTTCAACGCGCTGCAAGACGTGGAGACGACGAAGTTACGGCAGTCTTGTTGGCACTCGAAAAGATCGATGTCAATAAATTTTCTTCGCATGGTACTGCACTGATTATTGCGGCAAGTCGCGGTCACATCGAAGTAGTAAGATTACTGCTTGAGCACCCAGAGATCGATGTCAACCAACGACAAGATTATTACGGTAGCTCACTAACAATTGCGGCAAGCCATGGTCACATCGAAGTAGTAAGATTACTGCTCCAACACCCAGAGATTGATGTTAATATCAAGGATCGCTGGAAGGAGACACCACTGCAAAGTACCAGGCGCAATTCACACCAAGAAATAGTAGACCTTCTGTTGTCCCACGGCGCCATAGCAGATGAGAAAGTCAACACACCAACAATCACTACGGTAACTAGCAACATTCCGATGGCTCTAGAGGTTGATCATTTGCTCGATATGGATTTGCAAACGGAGCTCTACCTCGATCCTAGATTTTATCCAAAAGGTTTCTTGGAAGACCTACCAGCTTGGGAGGACTTTTCAAACGTGGAGGATGAGATGGTTGAATAAACCTTTCCTTGTATCAAGCAAAACACCTTCACACTTCCACCACACTCCCTACCATCTTTTCACAATCATGTAACTAGGAGAAATACCCTTTGTATCTGCTCGCTTCGTCTTGTTCACATAGCTCTTGAATGCACATCTACTCTTTATCCACGAAAGAAAACACCATACTCCATATGCATTTTCCATCCCTTACCACTACTCCTTCCCCGAAACCCATCCAGAAAAGCCTACCTACACCATCAATATTAACCCAAATCAAAGCACACTGCAAACAACTCAGCTTCACAAACTACCAATTTTACTCTGCCATGCATACACCTCTCATCCATCCATCACCCCATGCCCCGCCTCACCCAGCCTCAAAAGGGCACGCACGCCGTCTTCCAAGCCGCCAAGGCGTGCCCTTTCTCGCTTACTACGTACCCCCGTAGCTTCAGCTGCATTGAACACCAGTCAAGCGTGCCCTTTCTTGGGTCACGAGGTTCGCTGAAGCGGGGCATGTCGCATAAGGTGGTTGCAGTTCATGTACGTAGTGACTAGATAGGCTTGGTTCTCGATTTACCGGTGAGATCAGTGCAGTGCAGCTCTGCTGTGAGGCTCTGCCGTGAGGCTGGAGAGAAAGGGTTGCGTTTTCGGGCTAGCTTGGGGACTGGCAAGTATGTGTGCGAAGAGTAAGTGTTGATACGTGGAACGGTTTGTTTGGGGTGGAGGTGAGTTCGTGGAAAGAGAATTGAGGTGGTGAGTTATTGAAGTGAAGAAGCGATAGAAAGAGTAATGATCATCACGACTACAGGAAACAAACAAGCTTGTTAGAATGGAGAAGTTATTCATTTAATTCATAAGTTTTATGTATCACATAAGGGAAGACATAGAGCATCCTAGCCTGACTATGCCATGACCCAAACACGACTGTAGGCACAGTCTACAGAACATTGCCAAAGTACCTCTCCTGCAAACGATCATACGTCCTAGGCATGGTCTCGATAGCCCTGATCGTCATCGGCGCACGCTGCTCCAGAATTTCTCGCAGCCAAGCCTGTGCCTCAACATCATATCCAATACCATTGCTCTCTTCGCGCCTCGTTTGGCCATACGCCCTTGCGAGCAAGACCAGCGTCTTGTACCGGGGCAATACGATGTTCTTCTTGAGATCGTAGGAGCGGATTTCCATCCACTGGTAGCCCTCAAGGTTTTTACGTTGATAGCCAGGATAAAGGTCACGCCAGCCAGGGAAACGAGGCATGAGGAATTCTTCACATATGGCAAATGCATCGGCAAGCTGGTTGCGAAGAGTGAGCTGCTGGACAAACTCGTTCCAGGTAAAACCATCGACTGTGAAGCCGCTGACAAGGAGGTCGATGATGGTACGTTGTGCTTCTTGCATGGCGTTGCTGTCTGTCTGTGTCATTAGGCTACGAAGAAAGATGCGAGCCGGATTGACAAGTATTTGGCGACGATTGTTGGCAATGTTAGACTCTTGGTAACGGCGATGGACTGAAGGGTCGAGCAGAGAGCCATCCTCGGGGATTATGACCGGTTGCTGCGCAGCTTGACTAAATGTCTTTGTGAGCTTGCTTGCTGAAAAGCGAGCCAACTTCCAAAGCTTGGCTAATTCTTCATGGTTGCCTGCTTTAAGATGTGTTTCCATCATTGCTGTGATAAGTGTAAGAGGTTGAGTGTAGCCCTCGTAACTTGGGGCTGATTCATGAGCCCGCTCAAAAAGCTTCCTGCAAATCTTGTATGCTGACCGAGAGTTGTAGAGCCCAATCATCAGACCAAAATATGACTGCGGAATAGCGCCATAGTTGCGGGAATCGATCAATCGCTCGTGTGTAGGCTGCCGATGAGCAATATCCTCGTTCATGCTCGAGGCAAGCATTTTCTCAAGAGCTTCTTCTACCGCAAGCAGCCGGTAGTTTGGATGTTTGGCGCCCCTCTTTTCCAGCTTTTGAAGATCAGCTGCACCTAGTGCACGTATTGAGGCTGCGCGGGAGCTCTCAGTTTGAGGAACTTTGCGCTGCATCATTCTATCGTAAGCCTCAATCGCCTGTTCAACCTGACCTTCTCGCAGGAAGCCGGTCATAACAATTGCGTAATGAAGTGCATGGACTCGCATCCCTTGTTCCGGCATTGTAACCCTCAAAATCTTGTAAGCCGCGTTCGTCTGCTTCACTTCTATCAGTGCTCGCATCAAGCCGCCATATGTCCAGCTATCCAGAGGGATGTTGTTGTCGACCATCTCTTTATAGCGCTGTCTGCTCCCTGGAAGGTCGCGGTTGAGGGCGTACTGCTGGATCAATAGATTCCATGTGTGGGTGAGAGGATGGCCATGAAGGGTTCCTGCATTCCAGCTTGCGAGCATGCCTCGAGCAATGGCGTTAGCTCCTTCCGGATCACCTGCATTCAAGAACGCCTGTACGTAGCCTGATCTTGCGCGCACATCCGAGTCGAGTTGCACTCCCATTTGTTTTGCGCGTGAGAACAATGTCTCGAAAGCCTCGACATCGCCTCTGTGCGCGCAAAAGTCGAGTAGAGGCCCGAATGTTTTCACATCGGGTACGAAGCCGCAGTTGATGCAGTTGTTGAAGCAATCCAGAGCGCCATCAAGGTCGTCTGCACGAACATACGCAAGCAGCAAAATGTTCCAGCATGTGATATCTGGGATCATGTTGTGCTCAGTATGTATGCGATTGAATTGTGTTATCGTCCCTTCGACATCTGCCCGTCGAGCATAGACATATGGAAGCGCAGACAGAACCTTGAGTTTAACTTCATCCTTGTAGTTTGTCTGAAGCTCCTCAATGCATTCATGCACCTTCTCTGCATTTCCAGCGGTCGCGTATGCTTGGATTAGGTGTTTGAGCAATCCGGGTTGTAGTGGCCGCCCAGGGTAAAATGTGCGCAAATCTTGGATATGATCCTCAATACGCTGCCACCCGCCCATCAAGCTGTGCTGGTAAATCAGATTTCTGATCAAGTTTTGTGAAGGTCTCAGTTCAGAAGTGGCGTTGGGAGTATCTACATAATGACTTCGATACCTTCTGTACAACTCGAGCCAAATCTTCCTCTGGTTAGTATATTTTTGATACCGAGGCAGCTCGACCATTCGTTTGATGGCATACTCATAGCAGGCCGAGGTGGGGAGATTCAGTGAATGAAGATCGTCAAACAACCTGATGAAGAAGTTCCAAATGAAATTTTCGTCTGGGTTTGTTGTGTTCAGAACCCGATCCATTACGTGAGGAACGAAAGTCATGACAATGCAGGCCAAGTCTCTTTCCAGCTCTGGAGATGCCGTGAGTTCATGGTAGAATTCCCGGACATGCCTGAAAAAAGATTGAAGATGCTCTAGTAGTTCCGGCAATTCAGCTACGCCGCACCAGATTTCTGGAAGCGTTTGTCCGTGAAGAATCGCCAGATATAGAGGTTTCCCACGCACCCGCAGGGTTCGTCGTCGGAACGTCCTGAAAACACGAAAGGTAAGATCCCACTGCTCGTCAGACACTGTTCGCCTAAGAATGACATCTATGCCGACACGTATCATGTTAAAATCCATGGAGGGGTCGATGTCCTCAAGCGACTTGATGGCTGGGCCAATCATTCCGAGCGCGATGTACGCTGACATTGCCGCTCGGTACGAAGACGGCTGGCGAGCGGCTGGTGGAAGCTCGGAAAAAACCTGTAGCACACGACCAGGCAATACTGGCCCGCCATCTTGCGCAAGGTATTCTAGAAGATGGCGACGTAATTCATCTTGCGTCGCTGCTTGGTCTTCAAGAATCAAAGTATACAACTGCCATGCCAGTTCCTGTTTTCCAGGCTTCGGCAAGCGTAACAGTGCCTTTAGCTCCGCAACAGCATCAGATCGTCTGACTAGTCTTTTTGCCTCATTACGGGTCTGTTCCATGGCGTCCACGCTTATATTTCCTCCATCAGACAATGTTTGTTCTCGAAGTGTAGCAAAATGGCGGATCGCCTGTGGGGACCGTCGTTTGGTATCCGTGATTTTGTGTCTTTTTAGGGAGAGATTCCTGAGTAGATCAAGCGTCTTCTCCGGATACAGAAAGTCGAGAACTCCACAATCGCTGATTTTGGCGTTCGAGGAGAGTGGATCTGTCGTGGCTCCATCGTCAACATCACCATTTGTGTGTTTGATGGGCGTGGAAGATGCAGCTTCCGAAACTTGCAGATTGAGACCGCCTGCAACGTGATACCAGATGCCGGAATGCAGCATACGCCGGTTGCGTAGACATGGCTTCGGAGCGCGGAATAACTGGCGTCCGCAGGATTCGAGGCATGTCGAAGCACGCTCGAGCATCACCCGGGCGTGTGGGAGTGCAGATGATGCCAGAACAAATTACCGGGAAACTTGGAGGAGGCTATAAGCTGGTCTGGTTAGATTTTCCAGTGCGGGGACGAATGGTATAGAGCGTCGGAGTTTGCTCACATGTGTGCATGCCTCCAAAAACTGAGCGACAGCGGTAACAAAACAAATTTCGCGAGAACCAGGCAGCGACAGTGATGGGCAGAAGAGTGCACCGGAGAAGTGCAAGAAACTATGGTACAGGTACAGGCATAGGCACAAACAAAGGGAAAGGCAGACTGTGCGCGTGGCGATGGCGGGCCCAATGTCTATGATAGTATGTCGAAAAGTTTACGGGCGCGCTATGATCTGATGTTCCGATTGGCTTGGCAAGGCTGAGGGACAGCTCGCCAATTGATGCCCCTCCACATCAGCCGCATCCCCACCACTACATCGTCTCTCCCCAACGACGCCGCCATGGACATCACCAAGTTTATCA